GTAGCTCTACTAAGAACTACGTATGGCTTGATCCCGTTCGGGTACGTAGGCAGCCCACTTTGGGTTCAGCCACTGCTATATAGTTTTAAAAAAAAAAAAAAAAAAAAAAAAAACCCTAAACCCTAAACCCTACCCCAGAGCCACCCCTCTGCCGCCGGCCTTTGATGTCTCCTGCCGCCACCTGCCGGAGCTAGGGTTCCGCCATGGAACCGCCGGAGATGGCAGCCCAGGCTGCTGCCGGCCGCCGCTCGCCCCCCGCGGGTGCTGGTTCGATGCCTTCCGCCACTAGTACTAGCCATCTACAACCTCGGACGTCTTTTGCCAGTGTTGTTACTTCCGGATTTGATCCTGAGATTTCTGAGGACAATCCCTACTCTTTTTTGGCGGACCCGCGTCCTGCCACTATTGGCCAATGGATCCATACTGCCGGCCAACCGCGCCTTGCTTTCACTGCTGCCGAAACTGCAAGGTACACGGCCTCTCACCCGTATATTCTTATTGGGAAATTTTCACACGGGTACTCTTCTTGGAAAGATCTCGCCGAAAGGTTAACGAGTTTTCGTTTGGCAGGAAAGTTTGATTTGCAACACTTGAATCATCGTCATGTGGTGATTCGCCTATCTACGGAGGCCGATTATACGCGGTTGTGGATTCGAGGAACTTGGTTTATCAAAGGCTTCCCGATGAGGCTTCTCAAATGTACCCCGGATTTCAAAACCACCGAGGAACCCCCACATGGACCGGTGTGGGTGACATTTCCTCTGCTTCCTCTCCACATGTTCCATAAAGATATGTTATTCGCCGTCGCCTCCGATATTGGGATCCCTTTGAAGGTTGATGCCCCTACGGCTACACAGCGTCGTTGTTCTCACGCCCGAGTCTGTGTGGAGGTTGATCTATCGAAGCCCCTCCTGCATGCCTTCGAGATTGATGTGGGAACAAGTGTGCTTGAGCAAAAGGTCATCTGTGAGCGTCTTCCCAGCTTCTGCTCACTCTGCTGCCATCTCGAACACAAGGCAGAGGCTTGTTTGCGCAGACCTTTTTCGCAGCAGGCTTCAGACGATGACACAGCTACCCAGAATCCTCATGCTGCACCTCCTGGTCGCTGTGCCTCGACGCACGATCCTTCTGCGATCCCTGCAGCCTCTGTTCGTAACCGTCGTCGGCGCCGCAACCGAAACGGAGTACGCCTTCCACTGGTACTACTTCTGTGCATGATTCTTTGCAGGCACCTCTACAAATTCTCCGCCGGGACCCCGGGATTTCCACTCGGGAGCCTCCCGCTGCCAATCCGGAGCAGAATGGTCCCAAACGACTTCGCTCTGGTGTGCGGGTGACATTTGGGGAGACACAGATGGTCCCAACTCTCTCACAGACCCTAGGGAGGCCACTGCAGGTATTACCAGCGCATCTCAGCGCCCCTACAGAGGCTCAGCACCCCCCTGCTCCTCCTCGGGTAACCTTTGCCTCTATTCTCGGGGGGATGCATCTGAGATGCTGCTTACTTCTGGTGTACGAGTTACCTTTGGGGACTTCCTAGCGCCTTCAGAGACCTCTCCGGCCCACCCTCTGGCTGAACAGACTACGGAGCCCCAGGTTGACAGTCATGTTCTCCCTCTGGATGATCGGCTACCGAGTCCCGCCCCGGCGACCCCTGCCACCGTCCCAGCCCTTGGTCTCCTACCGCAGCCCCCATTGGACGCTAAGGTACCCTCTCCGCCCTAAACCCTAAACCTTAAACCCTAAACCCGAAACCCCAAACCCCAAACCCCAAACCCCAAACCCTAAACCCCAAACCCCAAACCCCAAACCCTAAACCTTCTCCCGCCCCCGGTCCCTCGGCCCCCGGTTTTAGTCCGCTGGGAAGCTCCTACTCTGGGGTGGTTCAAACTTAACACTGATGGGGCATCACTTGGAAATTCAGGTGCTGCTGGGGCTGCAGGCATTATCCGGGACGCCACTGGCGCTCCCCTTGTGGCTTTTCAGGTCCCACTTCCGCACGCGACAAATACTCTGGCTGAATTACAGGCGATCCGCTCTGGAGTGGATTTGGCAGTGGCGCGAGGCCTCCTCCCCCTATGGATTGAGACGGACTCCGCCAGCAGTATCTCTTTACTCTCCTCCTCGGCTAGACATTGGTCACTCTAACCTTGTCTCCACCACCTTCGTCTCCGGCTACGCACCATCGAATGGAGAATCTCCCATATCTACCTTGAGGGAAATCAAGTGGCGGACAACCTAGAAAACACATCAGTCCCTCTTCTTCAGATGCGGATGCTGGAGCCAGCAGACATCCCTGCTCGGGCTCGTGGCTTTATCCATGCTGACGCAGCGGGCCTTCCGTGCTTTCGCTTTCGTTAGCTTTTCTTTGCTTTTATAAGTCTCTTCTTACTGCTTTATCATTTTTAGACATTGTACGCACGAACTTTTAGAACTACGTATGGCTTGATCCCGTTTGGGTACGTAGGCAGCTCTTTAAGCCCAGCCAAAAAAAAACCCTAAACCCTAAACCCCAAACCCAAAACCCTAAACTCTAAACCCTAAACCCCAAACCCTAAACCCTAAACTCCATCGAATCATCTGGACGAATGGTTGTTCAGCCGATTGAAGGGACCAAATGGTGGTCTCTTGATTGGGCGACCAATGAGTCGTCTGGACAAATTGTTGTTCAGCCGATTGAAGGGACCAAATGGTGGTTGCTTGATTGGGCGATCAATAAGTCCTTTGGTCTAGCGACCAGTTAGTATCTGGATTGGTCGGTTGGTCTGCAGTCCGTCTAAGGAGTCGGGGGTTATTTTGGGCGGCTGAGTAGCCGGTCGGACCAGCCGCCCATTTAAGGCGATGAGGTTTTCAGAGGCGGTCGGCCGAGTCAGTTGAGTGTTGTAACTGGCGAGAGCGGTTGGTGAATCGGTTAACACACGTGTCAACGGAGGAGGACCTGGTGGGCAGTTGACAGCGGTTGCTGCAACCGACCAGACGGCGATTCAAACCGTTTCTTTAAGGAGTTATTTAAGGATTCGGGTCTGTACTGACAAATCATCTTCAATCGACAACAAATTCAAGAGAATTACTTTTGAGGATCATCACTTTATTTTTCCAGTTTGTAGTATTTAATTTCCTATTTTACTTATGTATCCTACAGTATCTAGAGATTCTTAATCTCAAGCATTTATTTTCTCAAATTCGAAGATAATTTCTATTTTCGAATTTTTCTTTTTTATTGTTGAAAAATTGCATCAACAATAATATAAACAAAATATATTAACTAGCGTTTAATAATATAAATATTATTGTTGATGTATTTTTTCAATAAACAAAAAGTAAAATTTAAAGATATGAAAAATATCCTTAAATTTGATTAATTAGCGTTTAAGATTAGGAATCTCTAAACACTGTACGGTACATAAGAAAATTAACTAGAAATAAAAATGCTGGAAATTTAAAGTGGTGATCCCCGAATCTGACTTTGCTTTGTTGAAGTTGATTGAAGATCATCTGTCAGTTGCTGACCCAAATCCTTAAATATTCCTCAGAAGAAACGTTTCAGAACCGTCGCCAGCAACCGCCGTCAACCGCCCAAAAGTAATATTTTGAAACGTCGTCTAGTCAGTTACAGCAACCGTCTCGCCAACTGCATAACCCAACCGACTAGTCCAGCGACTAACTGGTCGCTAGACCAAAAGACTCCTTGGCCGCCCCCACCGAGCGACCAAACTACTGTTCACTTAAATGGGCAGCCGACTTTACTTGGTTCGACCACGGACCAACCAATTTGCTGACTTTCCGACCTATGGACCATCCGACCTGACTATCCGGCCGCAGACCATCCGACCTGCCTTTCCGACTGCTGACTAGCCGACCTGCGGACCTTCCGACCTGCGGACCGTCCGACCTGTAGACCGTCCGACTCGCAGACTATCCGACCTGCAGACCTTCCGACCTGCTGACTATCCGACTTGCGGACCTTCTGACCTGCGAACCGTCCGACCTGTAGACCGTCCGACTCGCAGACTATCCGACATTCGGACCTTCCGACCTGCTAACCAACCGACCTGCAGACTAACCGACCGAGGACCAACCGACCTGAGCGCAAATTTTTTCTTTTTCACCCGACTTCGTGCCTAACTTTCTTTAAAATTCTGCTATCCTTATTTTTATTATTATTATCATTTTTTGTGGGTAACAATTATATATTTATTGATAATCGTATCTCCATTATATAAAAGTGCACTATGTTTTTTTCGTTAACAAATAATATATATATAGTACATAAAATTTTTTCAAAAGTTTAATGTATTACATAACAATAGAATATTTTAAAGTGAATATTTTTTTAAAAAAAATAGATATTAATATAATAGTTTTATATAAATAAATATATTAAATAAAACCCTTTAATTTTAACGTTAAGATTGTTGTGATCTTTTATAGATTTTTAATATTTTAAATTAAAATTAATAGTATATAATATATTTTATCCGTCTTATATAATTTGATTATTTTTTTTACTTTCATTCATCTCATATAATTTATTATTTTTAAAAATATAATTATAATATTTTTATTTTAATTAAATTATTTAATTATTTTAATATTAATTTATAATTATTTTTACTAATATATTTATTAATTATTTTTTAATTATATAATACCTATGTGCTCAACCAAAATAAATTAGCTAAAATGAAACAAATAATTTTTAATAAAAATAAATTATTTTATTTTATAAAATATTATTTAAATAAAAACTTAATTCAATATTTTATTTCACTTCAATTTCGTACGGCTCGTCGCTATTATAATTTGTGAATTCAAAAATACTTTTGAATAAAATCAATAGTTAGAAAAAGAATATTTTAAAAATAATATTTAAGTAATCTAAAATAAGACAAATTTTTAAAATAAATTGGTCGAATTCATTATTATAAAGGCAAATAAAAAATCGATTTATTTTATCTTTTCTTCTGAGATTGAGTATATATATATTAGATGTGTGCATATATGGATGGATGTATCATTATCACATTTTCCTCCTCCAGCGCTTTTGACTTCCCTTTATCCTTTCACATTCATCGCCAAATCCAATCCAAGTCCTTCACTCCTCTCTTCATCGCTCATTAATTTCTCATTATTGCGAGCGGCTTACTGATGTTTGGGACGATTTCAGATCTGTTCGGTTGATTTGATGTTTCATCGCGGAAGGTATCCTATGGCTTTTGTACTCTCTTCGCAGTGACGAGGCTTTACAGTTGGGCCTCTTCTTCTTCTTCCTCCTCTTTTATCATCTGTGTTTTGTTTTTGCCAGATCCGAGATTCTGCGATTAATCGATTTTCGATTTATTGGCAATTATTTTTTCTTTTCGATTGCCACATGTATTTGCGCGATTCTGATTTTGTTTCTAGAAATCTCGGCGCGGTTTCCGATACTTTACTTGTTTACGCGGAAAGCTTTCTGAATCGTCTCTGCTGTTGTTTGATTCTCCTGCATAATCTTCACAGGAATCACGATCGGTTCGATTGGTTGGGTTATTTTAAGTGATATTTATACTGTTTGTTTTTCGTTTATAGGAGGTAATGGAAAGCGGTGGCGACTACGGCGTGAAGCTCGAGCCGCATAATCTGCGAGATTTACTGAGAATCAAGGAGGATGATCATCGCAATAATTTCAGGCAGATCAGCTCTTCCAATGGCGGAGGCAGCTGCGGCAGCTCTTCTGGTCTAACATTACTCGCCCTCCTCAACGATAAGGTCGCAGGACCGCCTTCGCCTGCAGACGAGCCGTTGAGAAACGTCCAATCGTCGCGGACGCTGTATGACATCATCCGCGAGGAACGTTTGTTAGGGTACGGCGGTGGCCGGAGTGATAGCGGAAGGAGCTGGCGGCTGTTGAGAGACAAGATCCGCCGTCGCCAAGGGGCCACCGCCTCTTGGTCCAACCCAGAGACCACCGATGTTCCTCTCAACAATCCACACCACAGGAATCGGACGCGTCGCCACTCAGACCGGTTTGACTCTCTCGCCACCACCTCGGTCGAGTCTACTACTCAGCCTAGTACTGTTTCTTCCCCCGCCCCCGCCCCCGAGTCAGATATAACCGATCCTATCTCTGTCCAGTACCGTAGTCCTATCCTGGAAACAGAATGGACGACCGGAAGATTCAGGCAGACAATGGCGCCACCGCCGACGAATAGTAGGTCGGTTGTCGGGGAAGAATTAGCAGCCGAACACAACGCGGGGGAAGGGACAGATCAATCCGGCGCGGGGGAGCAGCCAGCGAGAACGTCGTTGATGACACTGCTGGCGGAGAACGATCGACAGATGGGATTAAAGCGGTCGGCGTACGTGATGTGCGAGGAATTGAAGGCTGCAGCAGCAGCGGCAGAGGGGGAGGGGGAGGTGGAGGCCGGCGAGGAGGCAGCGGAGTACAATAACTGCTGCGTGTGTCTGGTGAGGCACAAAGGGGCGGCATTCATTCCCTGCGGACACACCTTCTGCAGGCTGTGCTCCCGGGAGCTGTGGGTGCAGAGAGGCACTTGCCCAATCTGCAACAGTCAAATACTAGAAATTCTCGATATCTTCTAATCAAATTCAATTCAAAATCCTCCCCACACCAGACCCTTCCTTCCCTACTCAAACACTATCTGCTACGCTACATATTTGCCCGGAGCACCCTTTTCAACGCTTTATTATTATTATTAGTCACCACCTCTTGTTTCATAATTGTGTTGGGTGATATATTATACTACACTTTTTATTTTTTATTTTTTTGCTACTTTATATAATAGGACTGATAAATATATATATAATATATTAAAAATAGGATTATTTTAGTTGTTGAACTATTAAAATATATTAAATTTGATTCATTGAATATTACATTATGAATGTAATTATAATTAATAAATGTATTGATATAGCCATTATTATTATTATAACAATGATTTGTCGATATATACTCAGCTTATATTTATCCTGATATTTGCATGTGTTCAAACGTATTTTAAAAAATATTACTAGTGTGCAAGTTGAAGTGCGGTTTATCATTGACTATAAAATAACTAGGATTCCCTCCCTCCACTTTCGGTCACATTTTATATTTTTTATTTTCGTTCGTTTTATATAATTTGTTTTTTATTTTTATAGAAATATAATTATAATTTTAATTATATTTTAAATTTTAATTAAATTATTTAATTATTTTTATTAAATAATAATTATTTTTACTAATATATTTTTTAATTATTTACTAATTATATTTTATGCTTCTTTCGTTCCAAATGAAGTGTTTTATTGAGAGTTAACACGGAAATTAAGGAATAATAGCATTTGATTAAAAGTTGGTATAAAGTATAATATAAATGACTAAAATGTCTTTACTTTTTGAAGGATTTTAAAGAGTATGTTAGAGTAATAATCAGGGGTAGCATGGAAAAGTAGGAATAATTTTATTATAAAATGAGAACCACAACTACTAAATAAGGAAACAAGACAATTGTTTTGAAACGGACGAAAATGGAAAAATAAGACAAATCTTTTGAAACGGAGGGAGTATAAATTATTATATCTACGGTAATAGTCCCAAAATATATGGAACGGAGGGAGTATATTACTCCGAGAGAAATATAAATATAAATATAAAATATAAAATAACAAATATGGGTATGTCACTGTTCACGATCAAGTTCAATGCAAAGTAATCAATACGATCATGCTCAGTGCAGGGTAATCAACACGGCCGTGTTGCCTATTTGGAGCGTTCAATCACCCTTATGGCTGAGTCATCTAATATGGTTGTATTCAAACCAACACAGTCGTGTTCAATCCTAATCAACTACCATAAGACTAAAATTCATAAATTTTCATTTGAGTGTGATGAAAATTGATAAAAAAAAAAATTAAGTGAGACTAAAATCGATAATTATGATATTTAATATGATCAAAATTGATTTTTGCTCTTAATAAAATTTGGAGTGATAAAGTTATTTATTATAAATAAATCTTACACTATACATGATAATCAGTCACGAATCTACCGTTAAACCACGATACGATCCCTTATGGACTACTTCAATACTCTTACCGTTCCCGCTAATTTGTCCCATGGGCACAAAGTTTTAGTTATTATAAATTTAGTAAAAAATTAAAAAATATATAATTAAAAATAATTATAATATAATAAAAATAATTATAGATTAAAATTAAAATAATTAAATAATGTAATTAAAAAATATGAATTTTAAAATGAAATTAAAGTGTATAATTATATATTAGAAAAAATGATAAATTATATGGAATAGACAAATATAAAAAGAGTGAACAAATGATATAGAATAGAAGGAGCATGAATTATGAATTTTTTTATAGTAGCTTGTATTATTTGTTGTTGGTAGGTCGGTTCTTTAGTACTAAAATATATATATGTACATGACTAACCTATAATGCATATCAACCTTTCACGACAACGTGCAAGCTCAACATCGGGAGGTAAGGCCACATTATAGCTAGTAATAAGTGCTGGAAACGTGTGCATTCTGTACATATATCAAATGATACTATTTTTTTTATTATTATTTTATTAATGATGTGAAAATTCGCAATCGTAACGTAAAAATGCACACTGGGTAAATTTTCGACCGAACTTAATAGTCAAAAGTAACACTATTTTCAGGTATATTAGTGGCGTGTTCCGATATAGGTTTGGATTTATATTAAAATATGTTTGATAAAATATTTTATAAAAAAATAATATTTATTTTTTTGAAAAATACAGAATTTAGATAGTAAAAAATTGAGAGTTTTGTGGTAAAGAAGCACACTACAAATATTCTTATGTCCAGCCGCAGACCCTATCTTATAAAAGATGATTCTTTTTATTTTTAATAAATCTATTATTTTAAACATATTTAACAAATATAAATTAATTTAACTAAAGTTTTAATTTTTTACAGATGAGCCCACTCAAAACACATTTATTTATATTTCTTCAGTAAACAAATATTTTTATCTATATTTAAAACTTTAAATTTTTTATAAAATTAATTTTAAGTTAATTATAACTATTTTTTTATTTATTTGTATTATATAAATTTTATTATTACAAAATATTATTTATAGTACATATATTTTATTGAGATATAATTTTAAAAATATTTAAAATATCAACAATATTTAAAATAATATAATAATTTATTATTAATAATTTACTAACCTTCACTGCTCTGTATTATTAAAGTTCATCTTTTGAGAATGAAGAGAATATATAATTTCTTTCTATTAATAATTTATATAACACAATAAGCGTAAATATAGAGTCAGTTAATATTGTAGGGTTCTTATTTGTGACTTTTGGTGGTGGCATTGATTGGATTGGCATCCCTTGAACATTCGAGTCCTGCAATATTATTATTATTATTATTATTATTATTATTATTATCTTTCTACTGTTAGCTAGGCAATGTCAACAACGGAAATCTTTAATTAATTTTCCTGTATCCTTAATGGTTAAAGCAAGAAAATATTTCTCCTACCCAGCCGATTTATTGGGTTGGGATCCATAGCTAAATGATATTCCTTCCCTAATGTAAAATTATGCCTATTTTATCGGGCACAATTTTTTTTTTTAAAAAAAGGAGTAAATATATTATTGTGCCCCATAAAATAGACGTAATTTTACATTGGGGAAAAAATATCATTTAGCTATGGATTTCAACTTATTTTTCAAAACAAAAATAGAAAAAATAATATTTCCTTATTAAAAAAAAGAATAAATTTGAATGATAATAAATAAATAAAATTAAAAATAATTTTGAATGACAAAAAAAGTACTATCTATCCTGCAAAAAAGGTAATATTTGTTTTTTTCAAGAAGATTTTTTAATATTAATATTATATTAGTTTAAAGTAGAAAAGACAAAAATGCCCTATTAGTTTGTGTGATAAAAATATAATAACATTTATGTAATATATTGAAAGTTGTAAAAGTATTAATTATGTTAGGTAAATAGTACCATTACTAAATTAATAAAAAATCCTAAAACTTTGTGCCACATGCAAAAATTTATGAAATTGATCACCTCACATTTTCTCAAAATCGTTTATACATAAATCAATTATTAATATAAAGCAATGCCAATTTTTCTATGTCTTTTTACTCTTTCTATGGTGGATATATAATATAGATTAAAGTAATTTTGAATAATTTTATTAAGGGTATGTTCTTTTGCAAAATTTTAAAATTTGGACTCTGCGTTTTTTGAAAAAAATATATATATTTTTTTTTCACAAAACATCCCATCAAATGTTATTTTCATATCAAATTAAAACCAAATTTTTTCCAAACTCATCAAACACACCCTAAGGAATTTAATTTGACTTTATCCATATAAGTATAAAGTTATTATTAAGAAAATTTATCCAAAATAATTAGAAGAAAAAGTATTTTAATTAAAATAATTCAAAATTTTGAAAAAACATATATAAATATTAGAACTCACACCCTCCTCCTCCTATACATATATAGAATATATTTGTTATTTTGGTTTGGTCGATGTCAAGCTAATTGGCTCACTATGCATGCATAAAAGTGGGCAAAATGATTAAAAATTAGATCAAGAATTAAAATCAAATATGATCGAAATTATGGTTTATATATAGAAGGACTCATTACATTTAATGCTTTTGAAAAAAATAATAATAAATTAAAAATGGAAATACTAATAATAAAAGAAACAAACCCTTTTATAACGGCAATAGGAGCAAGTATGACCAAATCCCAATATTTAACACGTCTTATAAAATCTACAATTTAAAACCAAACTTAGAACCATTTTTATTAGCTTTGATTTCAGCTAACTAAACTTCTACCAAATGTATTAGGTTCACCAACATTAATTTGGTTTCGATATTGAATAAAATATTCAATTATTCGAGTTAACAATTTTCATATATGATTTACTAGGGTTTTCCTTTTTTGTTTTTTGGAATTGGTTAAACATAACTCATATATTGTTTAACAACCCAGTCCTAGAAGTACATTTGTTTTTAATAATTACATATGTTTGATGCCGCGGATTGTCTACACTTGATATTAAAAGGTTAAATTAAATAACCACCAAAATCATGATTTGCTATAGTAGATGAAGATAAGTAGCGCATACGTGTATAGTTGAACCTACAAATTAAGTTAGTTCATCTAATTCCTCAAGTAGACATATTTTTACTCACTTTCCATTGGAGCGGTTAACAAGTCGAATCCAATAAAATTTCAAGTGTTTGTATTTATTTGTTAATGTTTATGAATAATGTTCATGTTCATTCCTTAAGCATTCAAACCCTTTTATAATATTTGAGTTCGGTGCATTAAATAATTTTATTATACGAGCTTGTAATCATTTTTGGCTAGATTAAATCGTTTGATTATATATAGTATTTTATATTTTTAGTTTTTATATATAATATTTTATGTATTTATTTATTTATTTTTTAATGAGTAATTTCATATATATTTTAATGAACATTTGCAAACAAAGTTCGAACTCATTCATTAACAACACGAATTTATTTATGTTGTTCGACTCACATTATCACAAAAACATCATATTGTTGTGAAATTGTCGCAAAATATATTTATTTCTGCAATAATTTTAATAAATTGTTGCCAAACGGACGGATAAGATCGCAATAAATTGTTATGAGAGCCGAAACAATTTTTTTTAAAAAAAATATTAATTGTTGCAATTTCCGCAACAATATAAAAATAAATAAAATATTAATTTTTGCAGCTTTCGGCAATAAATTAGTTGTTGGCAATGTTATATTTTTCAAAAAAATAATATTATAAAAAATTGTTGCAATCTTTTGCAACAAAATAAAATTAAAACAAAATAAAAAATTGTTGAAAAATATTGAAAAATTATTAATAAAAATATAGTAAATATGTAGTTTTATATAATCACATAATTATTTTTAATTTTATTTGACATATATATTTTTAAGAAGAATAAAAATGAAACAATAGTATAATTAAATTTATTTAATTTCAAATCAAAATAGTAAGTAATTAAATAGGATAATTGAAATAATTTCTGTGTCTGATTATATTTTCTTTCACAAATTTGTGAAGATAAAAATATATATTTTATAAACGTTCATTTTCAATTTATTTGGCATTTTATTCAATGTTGCGTAGGCAGTCACACAATATTTCTTATCGTCAAATAAATTCAGTAACAATAAAATAACCGTAGCACCAACGACTACATCATTAATTTCAACAAAGCTAAGAAATACTATATGATACCATAAACTTCACAAGCAAGACCAAAACTTTCTCCCCAAGCATGGCCATTTAATTCTTCAATGACAAGAAGGACGACTAGGAATTCTAAACCGCTTTCATGGCTACATCCAAGGGACCACCACTCGGATTAATCGCCGAAATACATTAGAATTCAAGGTTGCGCTGAGAAGAGTGGCTACCAAAGGATTTTGTCCCATTCCTACTCGTCAACCAAGATTTGACAAAAGACTTCCTTTGGATAGATCGTCGTCTATGGTGCTTCTAAGATCTTGCTTCTCTTAACGGCAGAAGCAGCAACCATTTTGTAGCATTCGCCTCTCACTCGTTTCATGGTTCTACTGAGAAAGCTGCAAGATATGCTTTTCAAAGCATTACATTTCCTGTCTTGCCAACCTGGAAATTACAACATACTTGAATAAATGTCTCCATTTGAAGATGTTCGTTTCGAAATTGTAGAAAGACTAGGAAGTAAACAGACGACATGTGCTAGGAATCGAACACAAATAATACCAAAGCTTACCCAGAACATCTTCCTTGAATTTTGTCCTCTTCCTGTCTCTTCTATCATCCAGGCATTGCTTTCTCTTCAAACGGAAGGTGTTATGTTGAGTCATATCTACTTGTCCTAAAATAACGCCTAGCGTCACCAGAGAAATCAAACAAAGAGGAATAGCAAGCAATGGCAGAAAAATAAAAAATAATAATAATAATAATGTACCAGCTCAAATTGGCCTAAAACAAAACTTCACTAATTCAAAAGGATTTAGCAATGAAAAGCAGTAAATTTAATCCCATCCTATTCTTGTTCTCTGAAGCTCATAACTTGGACTCTGTATCACTTCAACTATCCACACCCAAATTACACAAACCCACCGCCAACCGCACAACAGGGCAATCTAAAATATATTTCTCTTCAAAAAACTCTATAGGTCACATTCTAAAACTCATATTACTCCTATATTTGATCACTGTATTCATTCACGATGGACATGAACACAAGCACGCATACAAAAAATGACAAATTTAACCACTCAATACTATTTTTTTCACTCCGTTTACATCCAAACAAAGCATTGGGTTTGCGATGATGAGTTCGCCCAAAACACACAAAGCTTGCCACCATATAGCACCTCGAGACTCAAGGATAGCGGACATCAAAATTCATTGAAACATAGCACATCTCAAGCAAAGAAAAAGACCTGAATTACAGCTTATCACTTTCTCGTTGTTGAGAAATCTGGAATGCTCACACTGCAGTCTTTTGTTATCTCTAGAGCACCCTTTTCCCCCCATGTTCAGAACCCAATTTCCAGCATCTTCTATGCCATGTGATCCTGATCGAAATCAATCAAATATGCGTTATCAGGGAGCAAATGCACAAGTTCAAACCAGCATAAAAAGTGGGACTCCAATCAGGGTGGGTCAACATCATTTGAACTATTGTGACCTAAACTATCAATAATTTTTTTAACACATTCTCCTCAGTGAAGATACATCAGTCACAGTCGCAGTCAAATCTGAAGGAAATGATAAAAATACACATTTTACAGCATAAACAGCAGGAATTAACAGTTTTTACAACCATAAATAATCTAAGTCCTACTTCAAATTAGAGTTGTGGAGGAGCCACACTAGAGTTGGACTTCTCATATTTGAGCTAAGATTGGATTTTCTGAGACAGATAAGCTAAAATTAATAGAGGAACTCGGGAAGCAACTTATTTGCTTTTATTATTATGAATATAACTATGATCATGATTATGACTACAATTAATTTTCTGTTTGAGCTCAATTTCAAACTCTACACGTCTGTCTCATTAATTAAGTAATATTGTTTTCTTTTAAACAAGAGTAATGGAGTTTCTTTAAGCATTTAACTTAGTCTTAAATTACAACATGTATATAATTCTAGAAAAGAAAAGGCAAACAGAGGTCGACCTTGTTATTAAACATAACAAACAAACTGAAATTTGAGGTCGAGCTTGCTACTTTAGCCTAAAAGAGCCTAAACGATCACAGTTCCAGCAGCTCCACCTCAAGTCCTTATCTCATTTAGAAATCCAAATCCCTCAAGCAGCCCAGCCGCGTTGCTGATTTTTTCAGTGCACACTAATCAGGCAAATCAAGTTGCTCACAATCTATTTGACAAAATGCGTTAAAAAGGTAAACATTAAAGTACAACAATAACATAAAGGCTAATTGATTATACTACTGCTGTGCGAGTTATAACTGGAAACAGAGTTTACTTTTGCAGCCAATTTTCGAGAGCTTTCCATCAACGACGAGGGCGTCGGAGTCGGTGGCGCCAGTAGACAGCCCACGGGAGGAGAAGAAGCCAATCAGGGACTTCCACGTGACGGAGGAGGCTATGAGATCGACGCCTCTGCTAATGAAGTGACCGTTGAGCTTGACAGTGGTGGGGTCGAGCCCGAACGCCCGAGCAATGGAGCCAAGGTCGAGTCTCTGCTCATCCGCTGCAATGATCTGGATTATCTTCGAGACGGAGGGGCAGAATAGCTTGATTCTTCGGTTCCCCCCCTTTTCACATTCTCCACCTCCTCTCCCTCCGTCCATGGCTGATTGTTCTGTCCCGGTGTGGAGGCTCATTGATGGAGTCGTCGTCGGTCTAGGCTCTTTGCAACATGTCTGTCTGTCTGTCTGTCTACTCGGCTTTCTTTGAAACTCTACTGGATTCTGGAACGCTCGAGGCCGGGTTCAGTAATCCTGATGCCAACAAATTCTACTTGTATTTTATTTTATTTTTTATTTTATTATTATTATTTTATTCTATACGCAAATTTGCAGATTAGTCCTTGTTAGTTAATACAATTACAATTAGAACACCAATGATCTCTATCCCCTCCCTCTCCCTGCGAGCCAGACGATGGGTCGTCGTTGTCTCACCCATGGAACACGACGACAGCGGTTGACAGAACCGCGCGACAAAGAAGGGTGAGACAATTCAATTATGTCATCGAGGGTGTGTGTTCTTTTTTTTTTACTAAACACGAGAGTTGTGCTCGTTGCGGGACTTAACCCAACACTTTACGGCACGAGCATACGTATGATCAGCAACAAAAAAATGAAATGCAATAGCTAAATGATGGTTGTAGCCTTTAAAAGTCCTAGAAGGCGAGGCCCCTGATTATTATTTTCCATACACCATTTCTAAAAGAAATTATGTATATATGTCTATTATGTGTATATGTATATATGTCTATGTGTGTACGATTGTGTATGTATATAAGTAATTATTATATTTATATTATATATAACATTAGTATGCAATTATTATATATAGATTAGTATGCAATAAATGCCCAAAGAGAAAGATGCAATTAATAGAAAGGGAGAGAGAAAAGGATTTTGTATATTCATTTTATAACCAAAGACACACATATATATAGCTGAGTGAGGCGGTAGAATACATGATTATAAAACATCCATATTCCGTCGACGTAGTTGTTGTGTGGTGTATAACACTCCCCCTTGGATGTTTTATAGAAAGAATGTGTCTCGTTAAAATCTTACTATGAAAAAACCCTGTGGGAAAAAATCATAGAGAAGGAAAAAGAATACATCATTCTTGTATTAATGCGCTCCCCCTGTTTTGGACTTTATTTGATGTCTTTCATCCGACGCATTCCAATTCCTTGCACCAGTTTGTTGAATGTTGCAGTCGGTAGCGCCTTCGTGAATAAATCTGCAAAATTTTCAGACGATCGAATTTGTTGCACATTAATTTCACCATTTTTTTGAAGATCGTGAGTGAAAAAGAACTTCGAAGATATGTGCTTTGTCCGATCGCCTTTAATATACCCTCATTTTAATTGAGCTATACAAGCTGCATTATCTTCAAATAATATTGTAGGAGGTAATATATCATCGGTAATCAAGCCAAAATTTTTCTGAATATGGTGAGTCATGGACCTTAACCAAACGCATTCACGACTGGCTTCGTGAATTGCTAAAACCTCAGTATGGTTTGAAGAAGTAGCTGTTATCGTCTGTTTAGCGTATCTCCAAGAGTTCGCGGTTCCACCGTAAGTAAATAAATAGCCAGTTTGAGATTTTGTTTTGTGTGAATCGGACAGATAACCAGCATCAGCATAACCAATTAATTCATTTAGAGATTCACTCGAATAAAATAGACCGAGGTCATGAGTCCCCTGAAGATAACGAAAAATGTGCTTGATATCATTCCAATGGCGCTTTGTGGGGGATGCGTTAAACCTAGACAGTAGATTTACTAAAAAAGATATATCTAGCCTGATATAATTTGCGAGGTATATTAATGCGCCAATAGCGCTGAGATATAGTACCTCGGGGCTAAGTATTTCTTCATTTTCTTCTCTTGGCCTATATGGATCTTTACTGGGATCAAGGGATCTGACCACCACTGGTGTACTCAGAAAATGAGATTTATCCATATAAAATTGTTTTAATATCTTTTGGGTATATGTGGATTGATGGATAAATATTCTGTTATTAACATGATCCACTTGTAATCCCAGACAATATTTTGTCTTTTCAAAATCTTTGATCTCAAATTCTTTTTTTAGATATTTAACTGCAATTTGGATCTCTTCAGGAGTTCCAATTAAATTGAGATCATCAACATATATTGCAATAATGACAAAATTTGATCTATTTTTCTTTATAAAGACGCATGGACATATTGGATCATTAGTATAACTTTCTTTTATTAAGCAGTCACTTAGATGGTTATACCACATTCGCCCTAATTTTTTAAGTCCATACAATGACTTTTTCAATTTGATGGAATATGATTCCCTTTGGTTTATTTTGTATGCTTCAGGCATATTGAATCCCTCATAAACCTTCATATAGATATTAGTATGCAATGAGCCATACAGATATGCAGTAACTACGTCTAAAAGACGCATATCGAGCTTTTCTCGCACTGCTAGGCTCACAAGGTATCTAAATGTTATTCTATCGATAATTGGAGAGTATGTTTCATCAAAATCTACTCCAGGTCTTTGTGAGAATCCTTGAACTACAAGACGGGTTTTATATCTTACAATTTCATTATGCTTATTCTTTTTTCGTACAAACACCATTTGTATCCAACTGGTTTTATACCACCTAGTGTTTGAACAATTGGTCCGAAGACCTCCATTTTGTTTAATGAATCAAGCTCTGATTGAATCGCATATTCCCATTTTGGCCAGTCATTTCTTTGCCGACATTCATAAACCGATTTTGGCTTTGGATCCTCGTTTTCTTCCATTATATCAAATGCCAAGCTGTATGCGAAGGCATTATCAATAATTGTTTCTTTGCAGTTTCAACATTTTCTTGAAGTAACATAGTTAATTGAGTTTTCAATAGTCTCATCATGTTCTTCAAGATCGTGCTCTTCTGGAGCAATTATTTCAAGGTTGACTTCCTCGTTAGATTGAGGTTTATCAATGTCATTCATGATATTTTCATGACTATCATCATTAATTCCTCTTTTCTTTCGAGGATGTTTGTCTATGGAAACGAGTAGTCTACCACGCTTTAAGCGTGTCGCTGATTCATTAGCACTTGTAATTTGTCCATCAGAGATAATTATTTTAGCTGGAGCATTAGCAGCTTGGATATATGATCGAGTGACTTTGCTCGAGTCATTGAATGCATCTGGTAACTGATTTGCAATATTTTGCAAATATATAATGCGTTGAACTTCTAGTTCACATTGCTCTGTACGAGAGTCATAAAAATTCAATGGGATTTTCCAATTAATATCCTTTTTTTGGTTCGTTTTTGTCTCCCCCTAATGTTGGAAAATGTGATTCGTCAAAATGAAAATCTACAAATCTTGCAGTGAATAAATTACCCGTCATAGGCTCAAGATATTTTATAATTAACGGTGGTTCATATCCGACATAAATGTCCAATCTACGTTGAGGACCCATTTTTGTACGTTTGGGGGGTGGAATAGGAACAAAAACAGCACACCAAAAAATACGTAGATGAGATATATTTGGTTCGTGACCAAATACTAACTGCATTGGGGAATAGCTATGATAGCTTGTCGGCCTCATTCTTATAAGTGTTCCTGCATGTAAGATTGCATGCCCCCAAGCTAAAACGGGCAACATAGACCTCATCAGTAATGGTCTAGAAATCAATTGCAATTTTTTAATAAGTGATTCTGCTAGGCCATTTTGTGTATGAACATGAGCAACTGGGTGCTCTACATTAATTCCAATCGACATGCAATAATCATCAAATGCATTCGATGTATATTCACTAGCATTATCCAGACGTATAGTCTTAATTGGATTATCGGAGAATTGTGCCCGTAATTTAATAATTTGGACAAGCAATCTCGCAAATGTCATATTGCAAGTAGATAGTAAATAGACATGTGACCATCTGGTAGATGCATCAATAAGCACCATAAAATATTTAAATGGCCCACATGGTGGGTCTATTGGTCCACATATATCCCTGTGTATTCTTTTCCAAAAATGTAGGTGATTCAATACCTACTTTAGCTGGCGATAGCCTGGTTATCAATTTTTCCTGAGTGCAGGCAACACAGGTTAATTCATTTGAATTTAACATTTTTTGACATTTTAATGAATGACCATGCAAATTCTCAATTATTTGTCTCATCATTGTACTGCCAGGATGCCAAAGGCGATCATGTCATATTTGAAAATCGGTAGTCTTTTGGTCTACCGTGAGGTGTGTTTCAACAACACCTAATCTGACATAATATAAACCAGTAGAGAGTGAGGGTAATCTCTCAATGATGCATTTCCTTTTATCAATGATATTGGTGATCAATAAAAATTCACCATCGGTATCACTTATAGTTTTAATGTGATAACCATTTTCTCGAATGTCATGAAAACTCAGTAAATTTCTTCGAGCTTTAGTGGCCAATAGTGCATACTGTATCATAATTTTCGTCCCCACGGGGAGAAATATAATGGCTTCTCCAGAGCCTTCAGTTAACTTCGCACTGCCACTTATTGTATTGACATTCATTTTTTCCCTTTTCAAATGAGAGAAATATTTTTCGTATTTCAATATAGTATGTGTCGTTTCACTGTCAATGAAACACATATTTGCATCATTTTGATTGGCATCCATTTAACCTTTAAATATCAATAAACGCAGTATTAATAAAGACAGATATAAGTATTACAAAATGTATTACAAAAAGGTAGTATGCGATAATTTAAATATTACAAAACATAATGTAAAATGGCATAATATGTCTATCACTGGGGGTTTGCTGAATCTACGACAAAATCCGCTATATCAAGATGCGTTGTGTCGTAATCCAGAAGGTCATCATCGGGGTCGTCATCATTATCAACGTGATTAGTCTCGACCTCCTTTCCCTTTTTCTGCAGTGAGACTTGATAAAGATCGGCTAGGTGTTTGGCTGTTCTGCAGGTATTGGCCCAATGGCCTTCAATGACACACCGATTACAAATGCCGATTTGCCTCTTTCCCTGTTTAGCCTTTTCGGCTATATCCCCATATTGGGGTTTACTCTGCATCATGTTACCGTCAAAACTGCGGCGATTGTAAGGGGTATATCGACCGCGTTGACTCTCACGACCGCGACCACGTCCACGGCCTCTACCACGTCCTCGGCCTCGTTCAGAAGATGTCACGTTCGCTTCAGGGAACAGACTTGAACCAGTGAGCCGGGACTGATGATTTTTCGTCAGTAATTCATTGTTTTGCTCAGCTAATAAAAGACATGCAATGAGCTGTGAGTACTTTTGAATATTTTTCTCGCGATACTGTTGTTGTAGCACAACATTAAAAATATCAAAGGTAGAGAGAGTCTTCTCCAATTTATCATTCTCAGTAACAATTTCTCCGCAGAGTGTCAACTGAGATGTAATCTGATGGATAGCTGAGTTGTACTCTGTAACAGTTTTGAAATCCTGCGATCGCAGGTTAAGCCAATCATATCGGACTTTGGGGAGAGTGATATATTTCAAGTGCCCAAATATCTCCCTCAATTCATTCCACAAATCTAGTGGATCTTTCACCGTCAAGTATTCAGACTGTAAAGGAATGTCCAAATGATGACGGATGAAAATAATAGCCTTAGCCCGATCTTGGCTTGTAGCCGTATTTTCACTGGCAATTGTATGAGCAATGCCCATAGAAACTAGATGCATTTCTACATCCAGGGACCAAGTCAGAAAATTATTGCCGGTGAGAGACAGAGGTTTAAAAGAAAATTTTGCAAGGTTTTCCATAATTTAGAAAATAAATTATATAAATAATATAAAAATAAAACTTACCAAAAATAAAATAGGCAAGAATTTTCGTGCTTATAACGTGTTATATAATAATAAGAATATAATATTAATAAATATATATATGTATATATGTCTATGTGTGTGTACGGTTGTATATGTTTGTATGTATATAAGTAATTATTATATTTATATTATATATAATATTAGTATGCAATTATTATATATAGATTAGTATCCAACAAATGCCCAGAGAGATAAAGATGCAATGAATGGGAATGGGAGGGAGAAAAGAATTTTGTGTATTTATTTTATAACTAAATATATATATATAGAGGTGAGTTAGACGGTAGAATACATAATTATAAAATATCCACGTTCCGTCGGCATAGTTGTTGTGTAGTGTATAACATTACGGTAGATAGAGAGAAATAGAAAAAATATAATTAGTAAATAATTTAAAAATATATTAATAAAATAATTATTATATAATAAAGTAATTATAGATTAAAATTAAATAATTAAATAATTTAATTAAAAAAATTATAAATTATAAATTATAAATTATAAATTTAAAATATTAATAATTAAATATAATTAATATATATAATTGTTTTATGTGGAGGAAATATAAAATATAAAAGATGTATTTATTTTGTGAAATTGTTGAAAAATAAATATTTTTATGCTTAAATATAGAAATATGTATATAAAATATAAAAATAATAAATATACGTAGAGTATTAATTATTTTTTTAAAAAATAATAATAATCGAAAGAATACAGTGAAATTAATTGCCAATATATATTATTTTGAAAGTTTTAAAAACTAAACCCCCTTTCCATACAGTTCTGGGTTCGCCTGATTACGCCTGCAGCAAAATCTTATAATGGTCATGGGAAAATGGTTTCTTAACGACTTGAAGTTGTATCTCTCCACCTGCAAACACATATCATCCGTTGCCAAGATCCATGCTGTTGCAATTACATCTGGGATTTTCGGCTTCGGAAGTCTCCCAGCGCAGCTGATAGCGTCGTATGCTCGCGCGGGTCACATGGATGTCGCATGCAAACTGCTCGACAATATGCCTGAAAGAAGGGTTGATTCTTGGAACGCATTGCTGATCGCTTACTCCCGCCGGAACTGCCCCCTTCAGCTCATGCATCTGTACAGAAGAATGATATTTGAAAATATAAAGCCAGACAGCTCAACCTTTACGGTGGCGATCAAAGCCTGCACCAGCTTGATGGACTTGGAGTTGGGGCAGGAAATTTGGCGAACTGCCGTGGGCTGTGGTTATGGGGATGACATATTTGTGGCGACTGCTGTGCTGAATTTGTATGCCAAGTCTGGGGAAATGGATGGGGCGATGTGCGTGTTCGAGAGGATGTGTCGACGGGATGTGGTGACATGGAGTACGGTGATTGCGGGGTTTGTTAAGAGTGGGAGAGCAATGGAGGCCGTGGATGCATATAGGGCGATGCGGAAGGAGGGACTTGAAGGCGACGGGGTTGTGATGTTGGCACTGATCCAGGCGTGCGCGGAGATGCGGTCCCCGAAAATAGGTTGCTCGCTGCACGGGTACATGCTTCGGAAAGGTTATGCTATGGATGTTGCGGTGCAGACGACTCTTGTAGACATGTATGCTAAGAGTGGAAGGGTGGACAGTGCATCCACCGTGTTTCGGATCATGAGCCACCGGAGCATTGTGTCTTGGAGCAGCTTGATATCGGGGTATGCGCGGAGTGGACGATATGCAGGGGAGTCTCTCAAATTGCTGGTAGAGATGCAGAGTTGCGGGTTGGAACCTGACTTGGTTTCACTGGTGAGCGCACTTCTGGCATGTTCTCAGCTCGGGTCTCCGTCACGGGGGCGGGAGGTGCACGGATACATTACCCGGAGGAGGATCCGCATGGATCAGGACGAGGGCAAGGACGAGGATCAGGTCCTCAGCACGGCACTCATTGATATGTATGCAAAATGCGGGCTGCTTTGCTGTGCCCGGGCATTGTGCGAACAGGTGAGCAGCTTTCGCAGGGGGGACGTCATACTTTGGAATACAATTATTGCCAGCTACGGGACTCACGGGGAGGGCAAGGAGGCCCTCAAGATTTTCCGGCAAATGCTTGAGGCGGGCGTGGCTCCTGATCATGCGACATTCGCTGCTCTTCTCTCGGCATTGAGCCATTCGGGATTGGTGGAGGAAGGGAAGTACTGGTTTGAGTCGATGGTCGAAGAATATGGAATTGAGCCGATGGAGAAGCATTACGTGAGTTTGGTCGATCTGTTCGCTCGGGGCGGGCGAGTGGAGGAAGCTCGGGAGTTGATCGAAGGCATGATGGCGAGCATGGGGCCCCCGGGGATGGGTGTGTGGGTGGCCCTTCTGTCGGGATGCCTGAACCATAAGAAGTTCGGGGGGGTGGGAGAATGGGCGGCGAGGAAGGTGCTGCTGGAGCTGAAGGGGGAGGGGAAGCCGCCGAAACAGGGGAGTGCAGCAGGAGTATACAGCCTGGTGTCGAATTTCTTCGCGGCTGCAAAGAGATGGGAGGAAGTGGCGGCGGTGAGGAGGGAGATGAGACTGGTAGGCGGGGGGACAGTAGTGAAGAAGGCGGTGCCGGGGTGCAGCGTGATTGAAGTGAATGGCAGGTTGTCTGCGTTCAGCGTGGAGGACAGGAGCCACCCTTGGTACGGACGGATTGCGGCAGTTGTGGCGGAGATGGAAGACGCAATGAGACGAGGAGGAGGAGGAGGATACTGCGAATGCGAATGCGAATGCGAATGCGAATGCCAATGCGAATGTGAGTTAGGAGGAAGTGGAGGAGGAGGATGTCCAATTCCAATTCCGATTCCGATGGTGGTGGATGCGGTAATTGAAACTTAAAAAGGAAGGAGGGCAGGGCAGGGCAGCATAGATAAGATAGACGAGTCACATTGAGCGACCCGGTGGTTGAAGAAGGTTCAACTTGCAAGCACCCACTGCCTATGAACACCAACAACAAGTATTATATTATTTCAACACTATTTTTTAATTACAACTTTTTAAAAGTAATAATAAACAATACAAAAACTTTCAACATTAAATATTTAACTTAAAATAATACTCCCTCCATCAGAGCGTAGCAGTAAAGGATGTAATTAGTAGATAATTAAGAATATATTAATAAAAATAATTATTTTATGATATAAATAATTATAAATTAAGATTAAGATAACTAAATTAGTTTAATTAAAATTAAAAAAATAAAATCAAAAAATTTAAAATAAGATTAAAGTGTGTAATATTTTCCAAAAAAAAAAAGTGACATGGACGGACAGAAACGGTAACGTGGATATGGTATTTGGGACGGAGGGAATATATTTTATACTTTTAACACTATCCATATATATATAAAAAAAATCAATTTATTTAAAAACACAAGTGTTTTTATTAGTTATATTATTACTAGTTATAATATTACTTCTATTCCTTTGTATTTTTATTAGTTTAGGATATAGGTATATATATATTTATTTTATATTACTACAATTTTCATAATTTTCTTTTAAATTTTTTATATTTGTGTAGATATTTATTTTATATTACTACAATTTTCATAATTTTTTTTTAAAAATTTATATGATACCGTAGTTTTTAGGTTAAATATAAATTTAAATTCGTTTTGTTCATCTCTGACCATCACCGCATGCACTATTGTATTTCACGTCATCCGGAGACTGTCCGGCGAAAATAATATGTAGCATATTATGCATTTTAATTGTTTATATTTTGAGAATATTTGAGTTAATTTGGTATAAATTATACTGAATTTATGCATATTTGAATAACTTATAGATTTAGGAGTTAATTTGGTATAAATTATACTATTAGAATTCAACAATTACAAGCCCATCGGCTATTTTTAAAGTTCCAGAGCTAAGAATTAAAAAATAATTAAATATAGAAAATTGAAGTTCGCTTGCAGAAAATTGGAGTTGGCATACTGATTGACAACAAATGATCAGACACATATAGACTTCTCTCATGTTCTTTATGTTTATTTCTCTTGTTTTCTTGATTTTTATGAATATTGATTAGAACATTTCTAATTAAGTATTTATTGAATTCTTATTGATTATGGTATAGTTGTAATTCTCGAGTTTATCAATAGGTTCGATATTTTATTTGCTTCAATAGTTTCATGTCAATTCAACTAAGATATTTGTAATTGTACTTTTATTTGAATAGGTGACACATGTGTTGAGTAGTTACTTCCCATGAATTATGCATTCAAATTTTAACTGCTCTGCGTAGATAGAAATAATTTAAACTAGATATTTTAAATCATAATGTAATTAGGTAATTAAATTCCTATAATTGTATTTAAGTTTTATGAGCCTAGTTAGAGACAATTAATAGACTTCTAATCAATAAGTTTGTTCTTTGTCTGTTACATTCTAATTTCTCGATTTTTAGTTGTATTCTAGAATTTGGTTAGTTCTAATTCAAAAATTTTTATGAACACGGACGAATTATTATCATGTAAATTCTTGTAAAGACAGATCCCTTCACTGTAGGCAAGTGTGAGCAAGTCTTTCCATCACACACTCTGGTGCTAAATTCAATGATTTTGACTATGGGAAAAGTTCAGAGATTAAAATGGCTTAGGATAATCAAATTTGAAGGAAGTTGACTCCACACAGAAACCTCTTTGCATTACATTCTCTACTGTTGATAATGATGTTCTTTTAAGTTGAAATATGGGTTCATTCACTTATTATCTTCTTTTCATAGCCTTGCAAGGTGATGAATTACCTACACAAATTCAATATCGTGTGCACTAACATGAAACCATCTGCTGTCACTTACGATCAAATCAAGCTTAGGACGTTTTCATTTTCACTCATGGATGCTGCGAAAATTTGATTTTACTATATTCCAAAAAATATATTAAATTAGTACATTTATCGAGCATTACTTATAAATGCAGTATAATTTGTACATGGTTGAATTGACTCGAACTAGCCCGGACTGTTATACTTACAAGTCATGGTTGGAGTTGGGCCAAATATATTTTTTATAATCCGTTGTGGTCTGAACTGGCCTGTTGGGTGTGTTTGTTTTGGGGATTGGATTTTAAATCCACTGTTCATCCTATTTTCCCCCCAAAAAACATCAAATCAAACGCCTATTTTTTATTTTTTATATTATACTAAAAATCAATTTTACATTCAAAACATCACATCAACACCTATTTATATCACATCATATAACTATTCAAATTCAAAATTTTTACTATTCAAATCCCAACTCAAACTCCAATCCCACAAACAAACACACCCTAAATGTGTTGGGACTGAAGTGCGCTAAACTCAAGCAGTTCTAGGCTGGTTTGGTCCCTTTGGGCAACATGAGTTTAGACCAAGTCCATCTTTTATATATATTTGTGCACAGATTCATTTTAAGTTAATATAATTTTCATAATCTTCTCCAAAAATTATCTTGTATACAATGGGGGTGTATTTGTTTTAGGTGTGAATTTATGTGGCTTGAGTCTGAGCTGAGAAAACAGGCAAACTGATTGATTAATACATCAGTAAATGTATGACTGCCTAATAGCAAATCATCGGATCGGTAAAGTGATTTACTATTTCAATTGATTCATTTGATTAACGTTGTTTGATTGAAACTAGGAGTGAAGATGAGGAGATTACTTTATGAAATCGCCCATATCGGCAACTCAAGTGACAAAGACAAGACCACGGCTATATAATATAATAGTTTTTTTGAGGGGAAGTTATATTTGCATTAGATGAAGGAATCCTTTTGCATTTAGTCATTTCTTTGTGTGCATATTGTAAGATTTGCATATGGATGGATTGAATTATGTATTAAAATGTTAATAGACAAGTCTAGATTGGAGTCCTTAAATATAGGTCCCTCTGTGATCAATTTGAGTACAACGATTAGTGTTCATTTTATTGTTTCCTTCAGTATTGTTAGTTATCTAGTAAACACGTGAACAACTAGTTTAAATAGTTTGAAAACACAGAATCACCACCGGAAATATTAACGAGTGTAAGTAAGCATCATCTCCTAATTTAGTTAAGTAGCAATGGACATTTATGGTTATATACTACGAATTAGTGCAGAGAAGCTCTGTATGAGCTGAGCAGCCCCCAACATCAATATGATGGCCCTTGGCGAAAAGGGGGGCTTTATGTAATTTTTTTTTTTTTTATTTAAATGATACAAAAATAATAGTGTAATTTTTAAGCTTGTTAGGTTTTACTTATAAATCATTTAGTACTATTATTTTTTAGAGTTTCAAACTATAACTTCATGATTTCGAGTTTATTTCCATATTACCACATTATTTTTTTACAAAACAAAATAAATATTTGTTATATATATATTGGTAAAAAAGGTCCTCAAAGGGCCCCAAATTACAATGGAATCCGTTAAATCTCTTCACATAATTTATCATCATATTAATCATTTCTATTTAGTTTTGATTTTATACACAAATATAAAAAATTTGTGTACCATACATTTTAACTAATACCAGTGCTAAATTATAATAAGTTTTATATAAAATATTTGTGTAAACTTGTCCACATGTGATATAATATGATTTTGAATGATATATGAATGCGATGTGCAAATGGTGATTAAATTTTTAAAAAAAATTGTAGGATATAGTCAAATGTAAACATTGATAAATTTTAGAATTTGTTTTATATTAGTTTGCATTTTAATTTAAAGAATATATTAATATGATATTTTTATAAAAATAATAATATATATTTTTTAAACCCTGCCAACGTTGATATCCAAGCACATCCTAGTAGCTCAAAGTTTGAAATAAAATAAAATAGATAAAGTCAGTCATATCATAGCAGTAGGCATTAGCGAATATATATATATATATATATAGAGAGATGATTTTGAAGTGGTCTAAGCGATTATCTAAACTGCGGGTTAACCTTAACCAAGCCAAGTTGCGCTATACACACGACCACGATATATACGGTCTAATTAATTAATTAATCAATCAATTATAGCGAAAGAGCTTGGCTGTCTTTAATGGGTCAACCCTACCTACCCACCCGCCCACCAATTTACAACAATCCTAATTAAATTAACTAATTACATTACGTGTGTGAAAATGTCAAATTGTCTCCGCTTTGACAAACTGCCCTGCCCTGCCAGGAGAGGTTTCCATCGATGATCTTAATGGCAAGAATATATTTATTTATATATTCGTAGACATACATTAATTGCAACCTATTCTGCTTTCAATTCTCCATCCAACCATTTACATTCATTCCTGCATCATCTCTCTCTCTCTCTCTCTCTCTCTCTCCCCGATTGGGATCAGTCATCCGGATATCTATCTTTAATTCGTAGTTTCGACCTCTAGTCAGTCAGTCAGTCTGTCTGTGTGTGTGTGTCCCGTCCCAACTGCAAGATCGAGAAATGGCTGTAAGTTCTTCTTCTCCTAGTTTAATGTGGGTGTCTGTATGTGTTGTTGTTGTTGTTTTCGTACGTGTGTTCATGATATACGTATATATATTATATGCGTCCTAACATTCATTCTTTCTAATTTGAGTATGAGTATGAGTATGATGATGTATGTGTTGAGTGTTGATCATTTTGCAAAATTGAAAATGGTCAGCGTGCTGCGAATGTCCCGAAATTTGGGAATTGGGAAAACGAGGCGAACGTGCCCTACACAGTTTACTTCGACAAGGCAAGGAAAAATCGAGGAGGTGGAAAAATGATGAACCCCAATGACCCACAACCACAAGAGAACCCCCCCGAGTGGTTTGCTGCCTCTGCTCACCGCCCCTCAACGCCAACGCCAAGACCCAGATCAGGGGAGCTGATCAAGAAGAAGATTGTTGGGAATATTAACGCTGCTGGGAGAAGAGGAGCAATTAGGCCAGCTACAACAACACCACCACCACCAGAGGAGAAGGAAGAAGAAGATGAAGATGACTCGAAACGATACTTGTTTGATAATAACAACAATAACAATGACAAGTCGGCACAGAGGCAGCCTCAGCGTGCAGCAGGTCGATCCGAGCAATTAAGCTTTGCTGCTAATGTCAGAGTGATGGGGATGGGGAGAAGCACCAATACCAATACCAATAAGCTGGGATCATCATCGCCCATTTGGGAAGGAAAGAGCCATCATGATGGTGGTGGTGGTGATAATGATGATGATCGTCGACGTCGTCACAACCCCAACACCAATATTATTAATCATCAGCGCAATTGGGACGGGAGATCCCGCCTGAACCCACCCGCTCAACAAACCGTAAGATCGACCTACTACTACTACTACTCCCCCTCCTCCTCCTAATTAATTCAGTCTTTCTTATCTATCCAAATCGATTGGTCGATCTAATTCATCTAACTGGCCTGGACCTGGTAGTTGGACAGAGGCAAAGAATTAGGCAAAGGCAAAGGCGGCGCTGTTGCTGTTGTTCCCCCCTTCGGTGGATGGAACGAGCAGTCGGCTGAAAACTTCAATTTCACGCACGTATTCAACAAGGTGCGGGAGGAGAGGGAGAGGGTTATGGTTATAGATACCGCACCCGCCACCCCAACCCATTCCTCATCTCATTATAATGCCGTCACGCCCCCACGCTCACGCCTGCCTATTAAATCTTACTATAAGGTTACTTCTACTTCTTCTTCTTATAAGTAAAATATTAGACTGAATTTATTTAAACTTGAAAAGAAAAGATTTAGTTAACTTATTTTCAGAATAAATTATTTTAAATTTATTATTCATATATATTTTGATATAATGTGTGGAAATTTATTTTATGAGCAATATTGCATTACAGATGCATCATCCTGTGAGTTGAAATAACAGCAGTGTATGTAAAAAACTAACAGGCATCACAAGTAAAAAATTTTGTTCATGCCTGCGCGTAAATTGAAGTGAATAATTAATTAAATATGTTAAAAACACACACATGCATTGTATATTTGCTATCAAGATGGATAGAATGCTGAAATAAATCTGAGCCATTTGGTGTAGGGGGGGAGGGTTGTGTATGGGGGCTTATATATATATATATATATATTATGTTTTGGTTACTGATATATACGTATTTAATTTGTATATATTGCAGAAAGGTTGTTTCCGTTGGTGGTAAATCAAGGAAATTAAGGACGACTTGTTTGGTTGCAGCATCTTATTAATTAGCTCATATATCTGTCATTTGCATGCGAGTGTTTTTGTGGACTTTATTTACTTTCTACATTTTTTGTTTATTTAATTACTAGTCGCATTTATGTTATTTTTGTTGTAATATTATTATTGGATAGCTAATAAATATATTAATTTTCTCTACCGTTACCTACTATGTCACCATACGTGTATGTTGTTCAAATATGTAATGAATGTATATTTTTATATATATAAATGGATATTTATATATATATGTTTGTATATATAATATAATATATATATATATGTTAACAGAAGACACTCAAAACATGGAGAATAAGGAATAATTCTGTGTGTTGGTGTTGTGCTTAATTGTTAGAATTTGTTATTCTATTTTGGATTCAGTGGTCCCTACTTTGTACTGGTATACTATATGTAAATAAGTTTATCTTTCTAGCCTGATTTCTAATGAAAAGTAATACATACATAATTTAGTTTCTTTCTATCTTTTTTTTTTTACCTCAACCTTCAAAATCATCATGGTATCAGAGCTTTGAAGGCTTTGTTCATCACCATGGCTTCTAACAACGAGCGTGGTGCTGAAACTTCTCTTCTTGCACCTCCTCATGATACATCAATGGCAGCTATATACAAGCAACAGCAAGAATAGCAGCTCAAGCCTTAATTTCACCTCAAAGCTCCCTTCCAAAAGCTCTCCAACTTACTAGTGGAGACCAGCCACATCTAACCCTATCATCCATCCCTCTCAATGGAAGCAACTACTTCACCTGGTCTCACATGGTGTGGAATGCACTCATGGCCAAAGGTAAAAGCGGTTTTATAACAGGAAAGCAACTCAAACCAAAGGAGGTTGATCCTGAGTATGAAGTTTGGCTATAGGTGGATGCTCTGGTCCGCACATAGATTATTAACTCAATGAATCAAGATCTGCAAGGAGCCTTTGTCTTTGTCACAACAGCAAAGGACCTTTGGGACAGTCTCAAGGAGAAGTATGGTCAATCTAATGACAGCCTTATTTATCAACTAAAGAGATCTCTTAAACAAGGTGAAGATACCAATTCTACTTATGCAACTAAGTTGCATGAGCTTTGGCAAGAACTTTTAACCGTTGATCCACCATTTGTGTGCACATGTGGAGCCAAATGCATCTGTGGGTTGCATAAAAAATTTCAAAGCAGAATGGACAGAGACATGGTCATTCAATTCTTAACTGGTTTGAATAACAACTATGAATGAGCTAAGGGGCAAATATTGATGATGGACCATTTGCCAACAATGAGCAAAGCCTACTCTCTAATTATACAGTTTGAAAAACAAAAGGAGATTCATATTACATTGGAACACAATGCATTCAATGTTGCAACAAAGGTCCCATTTCAGTCAAAGTTCTTGACAGAGAAAATGAGGCAGCAACTTGAGAAGAGAAGCATGATTTGTGATTATTGTAAGAAGAAGGGACATGGAAGAGACACATGTTTCTCATTAAATGGTGTTCCCACATGGTTCAAAGAATTAAAGAAGAAAATAGCATCCATAATGAATTGTGCTTTGGCTGAAACAAAGGAGCTTAAAGAAAAGAGCAACAATGAAATCAGAAATGCAAAAGGGAATAATATTAAACTAAACATTGAAGCACTTATTTGAGCTGAAATCCAACGGATTATGAAGCAAAGGCTAGAAGAAACTGCTTTCAATCAAGCCAATATCAGCTTTGAATACTCAGGTACCTTTTCATGTGTTGCTTCTGTTTGTATGGGAGAATATTCTTGGTTAATAGACAGTGGGGCTTCATATTTGCAAGAATGCATCCATGTTCTCTACCCTTCAACCTCTTCTCACCAAAACTCAAATCCATTTACAAAATGGTTCCTGGCTTATGGCTGAATATGCAGGGGAAGTCATCTTAGGTTTTACTATCATTCTGCCATATGTATATTATATACCTACCTTCAAATTCAACCTTCTTTCAGTTAGTAGTCTTCTTAATCACACTGATTGTAATCTTGTGTTCACTCCTACTGCTTGTCTTATACAGGACTAGAGAACTAAAGCCACTTTGGCAACTAGATACCAAGAACAGACCTATACATTATGTCTGACTCTTATTTTCCTACTAGGTCTATTGTCAATTCTGTTACTGAGGATTGTAATCTTTGGCACTATAGACTTGGTCATTCTTCTACTGAGAGTCTTAAAAACTTATCATTTGTTCCAGCCTGTAACTACAAGCCTTGTGATACTTGTCACAAGGCTAAACAATCAAAGCTATCCTTTAGCAGTAGTTCATCTTGTGCAAATGGTGTTTTTGATCTTGTTCACATGGACACTTGGGGTCCATATCGAACTCCCACCTTAAATGGTTGCTCTTATTTTCTCACTATTGTTGATGACCATACAAGAGCTACTTGGACCTATCTTTTGTCTAACAAACAACATTTGAACCAAGTGATTAAAAATTTTATTCATTATGTGAAAAATCAGTTCAATTGCATTATCAAAACTGTTATAACTGATAATGGTTCTGAGTTTCTTAACTCCCAATGTAAATCCCTTTACAATAAGCATGGAATTATTCACCAACACTCTTGCCCTTATACCCCTCAACAAAATGAAAGAGTAAAGATCAAGCATAAACACCTGTTACAAATGACTCGAGCTCTGCTTTTCCATGCTTCCATTCCTGAAAAATTTTGGGGTGATGCTTTATTACATGCAACATATCTCCTAAATAGAATTCTTTCTTCTGTGCTAAATTGGGAAACACCTTATCAAAAACTCCACAAATCTAATCCTGACTATAGTCATCTCAAAGTGTTTGGGTGTTTGTGTTATGTTTCAAATCCTTCTCTTACCAAACATAAACTTGAACCTAAAGCCTTCAGGTGTCTGTTTCTTGGTTATCCAGTTGGACAGAAGGGCTTCAAGCTCTTTGATCTTGATCATCAAAAGAGGATTGTAGCTAGACATGTGATCTTCTATGAAGAAGTCTTCCCTTGCTCTAATTATGCAGTTCCTCCAACCTAACTAGGTCTGTTGCCATACTCTAATTCCTACCATGATCTTAGTGAACCTCAACCCTTCACCTATACTCATCCCTAATCCTCCCGATCCCATCTCTGATCCTATAGTTACCTTACCTCCAAGAAAAAGAATACCACCTGCTTGGCTCAAAGACTATGTGTGCCCTATTGTTACAAAACAGCCAAACAACACAAATGGTGGTATCTTGCAAGTATGGAATGTTGTTCCTGTTGTTCATGATCAAGAACCAACCTCATTCACTCAAGCTCAACAAGATAACAAATAGAGTGATGTTATGAATGATGAATTGAGAGCTCTTGAAAAGAATCACACGTGGATAGTAACTGATCTTCCCAAAGGTAAGGCCTATTGAAAGTAAGTGGATCTACAAAATAAAAAATAAAAAAAAGCAAATGGAAGTGTTGAGAGATTTAAAGCTCGTTTGGTGGCAAAAGGATATCTCCAAGTTCATGGTCGTGACTACAATGACTCCTTTGCTCCAGTTGCCAAGGTTGTCACAGTAAGAACTCTTCTGGCAGTTGCCTCTTTCCGGGAGTGGACTGTTCACCAGTTAGATATCAACAATGCCTTCCTTCATGGCCATTTGGATGAAAATTTGTACATGCTCCCTCCTCAAGGTTATAAGATCCCTTATGGTCAAATATGCAAGCTAACAAAGGCCATCTATGGCCTAAAACAGACGCCAAGACAATGGTACAAAGAATTTGTCTCAAAAGTGTTGAAATGTGGATTTCATAAATCTTCATATGATCATTGTCTATTTACCTTAAATCAAGACAAAGATCTCATCTTGCTGCTGGTATATGTGGATAACATACTTCTAATTGAAAGCTATCATTCCTCCATTGAAGACATCAAGCAATTCTTAGATAAGGAATTCACTATCAAAGATTTGGGCCAAGCAAATCTGTTTCTTGGTATGCAAATTCAAAGAACAAGTACTGGTCTTGTTGTATCCCAACAAAGATTCATTGATTATACATTATTGAAAGCTGACTTCTCAACAACTAAATCATGTGACACACCTTTTGTGGTTGGTGGTAAATTACAACATGGGAAAGGAGAACCATTCTCCAAGCCTAGCTTGTATAGAAGGTTTGTCGGAAAATTGCTCTACTTGATTATGACAAGGCCGGATATTTGCTACTCAGTTCAACAGCTTACTCAATTCATGAACAGTCCTACTACTCACCATTGGAAGGCTCTTCAAACGGTGTTAAGGTACTTAAGAGGCACTGCAAACTTTCAGCTCTTGTTTCCTTCTAATGTTGAACCATCTCTCCATAGGTTCTGCGATGCTGATTGGGGGAGCTGTCTGGATACCCGGAAGTCCTTGACTGGGTTTTGTGTGTTTCTTGGTTTGTGCTTAATATCTTGGAAAACCAAGAAACAATCAACAGTAGCTAAATCTTCAGCAGAGACTGAATACAGGGCCATAGCAGCAACAGTTTCAGAGGTGTTGTGGGTAAGTTATTTGCTCAAAGATTTTCAGTTGAATGTTCAGTTGCCAATACCTATCTTCTACGATAATAAATCAGCCATACAAATGACTCAAAATCCTGTCTATCATGAGCGCACTAAACACATAGACATTGATTGTCACTTTATTTGTGATCATCATGCCAAAGGTACTATTGCTCTTCAATTTGTTCTTTCATCTCAACAATTGACAGACATGTTCACAAAAGGGACTAGTGCTGATACTCTTAAGCATTTGTGTATCAAGCTCAACTTGGGATATATCTTCCAAGTTCCGCTTGAGAGGAGAATGTTAACAGAAAACGCTTAAAACATGGAGAATGAGGAATAATTCTGTGTGTGCTGGTGCTGGTGCTGTGCTTAATTGTCAGAGTTTGTTATTCTGTTTTGGATTCAGTGGTCCCTACTTTGTACTGGTATACTCTGTGTATATAAGTTGATCTTTCCAGCCTGATTTCTAATGAAAAGTAATACATACAGAATTTTGTTTCTTTCTATCTTTTTTTTTTTTTTTTACCTCAACCTTCAAAATCATCAGTATGCAAATATATATGTGATATATCTAAGGACATGCAAATGTAATATCAGAGAGAGAGCGCAATGGAATGGAGGAAGTAAATTATGAATGACTTTCATATATTATCTTATACTGTGTAAGAATACATATACATATCTAGAGGCAAACATTTGTAGTGAGGTATGACACACAAATTGCCACGTAGCATCCAAAAATTGTTCATGCATATGATATGTATGCGTCGATGTGTTTATTTGTTTTACAATACTTTCTCTTTAGATGCTTTAAATAAATAATATGTTTCGTTAAAATTTTATTAGAAAAAACTTATGTGAAAAAATTATAGTGAAAAAAAAGTACATCATTTTTGTTCTAGTTTATTTTACCAATTCGTTGAATATTATTTTCGGTAGAGTATTGATTAATAAATTTACAAAATTATCAAATGATCTAATTTGTTACACGTCTATTTCACTATTTTTTGCAGGTCATGTGTAAAAAAAAATTGGTAAAATATGTTTTGTTCTATCTCTTTTAATATACCAACCATTTACTTGTCAATGCAAACAACATTGTCTTCATATATGATTGTTGGGGATATTTATTTTTATGCATTAACCCACAATTCTTTAAAATGTGATAGGTCATTGACCTCAACTAAATATATTCTCGTCTGGCTTTATGAATAGCCAATACTTCAGCATAATTTGATGATATGACGGTTATTATATGTTTTCGGGATCTCCAGCAGATCAGAGTATCACCATATATAAATATATAGCTAGTTTGTGATTTTTCTTATTACGGATTAGACAAGTACCCAACGTCGGCATAGCCTTATAACTCGTGTCGAGAATTATTCGGATAAATAGGCCGAGATCATTTGTCCCTTGCAGATGCGCAAAACATACTTAACCTCATTCCAATATTGTTTAATAGAAGATGAACTAAATCCCGCTAATAAGTTTACTGCAAATGCAATATCTAGTCTTGTGTTATTTGCTAGATACATGAGTACACCTATTGCACTGAGATATGATACTTCAAGACTAAGTATCTCTTCATCATCTTCTTTTGGTTTAAATGGATCATTGTTAGGATCAAGAGATCTGACGATCATTGGAGTACTCAATGAATATACTTTATTCATATAAAATCGCTTTAATATATTCTGGGTATAAGCAGTTTGGTGGATGAATATTTCATTATCAACGTATTCAATTTGCAGACCAAGGTAGAACTTTGCATTTCCAAAGTCTTTGATCTTAAATTCCTTTTTTCAGGTATTCTGCAACTGATTAGAGCTCTTCTGGAGTTCCGATAAGATTGAAATCATCAACATATATTTATATTGCAATGATCACAAACTTCGACGTATTTTTTTTTTATAAAAATACAGACATATTGGGTCGTTTGTATAACCTTCTTTGGTTAAACACTTAGTGAGACGGTTATACCATATGTGTCCAAATTGTTTAAGTTCATACAATAAATTTTGTACTTTGATGGAGTAGCATTCTCGGGGATTTGATTGTATGTTTCAGGCATGTCATATCCTTTAGGGATTTTTATATAAATATCGTTCTCCGGTGAGCTATATAGATAAGCAGTAACTATGTTCATAAGGCGCATATCAAATTTTTCATGCACTACTAGACTTACAAGATATCTAAATGTGATGCCATACATAATCGGAGAATATATTTCATCATAATCAATCCCAAATCTTTGTGAGAATCTTTGGACTACAAATCTCGCTTTATATCGGATAATTTCACTGTCGTCATTTATTTTCCTCACAAATACCCATTGAAGTTAGATCGGGAAAGAGATTGAAGATGAAGAAATGTACAATGATCTTCATAATGAGTCAGATTTTATAAATTTTGACTATATAATGAAAGGGGACGATGTAGAAGACGAATTAATGGATCAATCATTGTACAAAAATATAAAATGTCTTTAGGTGACTCGCAAAAAAAAAAAAAAAATTCACCAGCATTGCATGGTCCGACACAAAAAATGTGGATTTGCACGCAGTGTACAATCTTTCGACCAAGTACAATCCTTATTTTGCCTTAGGAATGACTTTTAGTTTAGAAAAGAAGAATTTAAAGAAGTTATTCGAAACCACGTCATTATGATAATAAGATCTAGAGAATTTTTGAAAAATAACAAAAGAATAAATTAATCCGATGTGCAATTGAAATCGTAATTGAAGAATCAGTACTTTAAAGATTAACGATCAATCGATATTTCATATTAGGACATACAACTCAAAGGATGAGTGTATGTACGATATAAATGTAAAAAGTATGAACTCATCATAGCTCGTAAAGAAATACAAATTATTGTTCCGATAAGATCCTATGAGACGTGTAAAAAGATTTTCAATAAATCTCTTCAAAGATATCCGATGCAATATATTTCATCAACAAGCATATATGGTAGAGAATATGACACTTAAAAGTAATTGATAGTAATGCTGAAGAGCAATACAAGAAGTTGTGAGACTCCGCCGAAGCCTTGCATCAATCTAATTCCGGATTTCGTTGATAACTTTTGATTTTAGCATATTTTATTACATATATTTATTTAATTATTTGTTAACTTATTCCAATAATTGCATCTTGTTTGTAAAAAAAATAGTTTTCATACTTTGATGGAACATAAAGTGTAATATTTATAGTTTAATTATCTCGTAAAAATCAATAGTTTAAAATAAAATATTATATTTTATATTATTGACACAAGTTTCACATCTCAAAGAACACCTCAAATCAAAATAGCAAATATTATTTAATATCATAATTTTCTAAATAATTTTATTTTTTATTCAAATAATACTAATTTAATGGGTGTGTTCTTTTTTTTTTTGGCATATGTTTTCCTAATAAATTAATATATAATATATATTTATCATTTTTTTATTACTTATATAATTCTTTATGCCTAACATAAAAAAATGTATCTTTTTAAACTATTTCACAAAACAAACACACATTTAAAAAAAAAAAAAATTAGGCTAAATTGCACAAAATTTACCTGTAATTTCATAAAATTGCATCAAATCCCCTATACTTCTAAAACTGCGTCAAACTCACTCATGGTTTCATAAACTCTGCGTCTAACCCCCTCGACGGTCCTTATTTAACGGTATTTGATCTAAATTAAATATATTCATTTTTTTTTTATATTTAGCCTAAAAAAGAGTAAATATACTCAAAAAATAGTTATTTTTTTCAAATTTTAAAAATTTATTTTTACTGTTTTTTTAGGCTAAATATAATAAAAGTAAATATATTTGTAATTTTATGAGTTTAGAAATAGAGATTCTAAAATTTATTCGCAATTTGGATGCATTTAAGTCAAATACCGTTAAATAAAGACCGCCGAGGGGTTAGACACAGAGTTTATGAAACTACAAGTGAGTTTGACGCAACTTTAGAAGTATGAGAGATTTGACGTAATTTCATAAAACAACACGTGAATTTTGTGTAATTTAGCCAAAATACTATATACTTTGTCCGTCCAAATTCAAAGTACTTTTTTTTGCCATTTTCGTAAAATATTTCTTTTTTATTTTAGTAAAAGTAATCATATATAACTACCAAGATACCCTTAACTTTTATTTAAATTACAAACATACCATTAAACATACAATTATTTTGTACATAGAGTCGAATAACAAAAGTGTTGAAACTTCTTGCATATTTTCACTAATCAATAAAATACTATTATTTCTTAATTATTACAAAACAAAAAAAATTAAGTGAAACAAATAAAATATTAAAAATAGAATAAAAAAGAAAGATCGAACCAAAACAAACAAATACTTCATATGTCTCATACCAAATAACTTTTTTATTTTAATCCGTTTTATAAAGAAATAACATCTTTTATATTTGATAAAATTTATTAAATTATAAAATATTTTATTTTTATTTCTCTTTAAAAAAATAATTATTTATATTTAAATATATAATTATTATTTTTATAAAATTACTTTATATTAATTATAAATGTATATTTTATTATTTGTATAATACAATGATATATATTATATTTAATTTATTAGAATATAATTTTAAAAATATTTAAATATATATTTTATATTTTTTAAAAATTATATATATTAATTTATATCTGAAAGACTAAAATTAAATTAACAGGGTAAAAAAAAAAAAAAAAAAAGATAGACGCCACTAGTTACGACTTACGATTACGATTTTGCCTTAGCCAGCCGTGAAAGGCGTTTTACGGTTTTACCCATGCGCACGGTCTCTATATCTCTCTCTATTCTCTATATAAGGGAAGATATACCCGTCGCCTCGCTCCCCCTCTCTGTGTATCAGCCTCCCAATTCGAAGCAGACGTCTCCAATTCGAAGAATTCAGGTTGGATCTTCATTCGTGCCGTCTCGGTGCCTCTCAGTACTTGTTAATTAATCAGTGTTTATTTTATTTTTATGTTTTCCGGTGTATTTTCAATGTGGTTCGGAGTTCTGTTCATATCGCCGGGTGTGGTTTTAGAATTTTGGGATTGTTGGTTTCGGGTGCTTTTCTTTCTTTATTTGTTTCTTTCTTCTTATTGCAAATATAACTGCGCTGTTGATTGGTGGCAACACTTTCATATTGGATTGGTTTGATCGGCCAGAGATTTAGGGTTTTTAGGGTCGATTTTCTGTTAGGGCTTTATAGATTTGGTTTTTCTTTAATTTTTTAGGACGTGTAATTGAGCCCTTTTCAACTGGTGAGTAGTTCCTATGCACCATGATTTGTTGGTGTAAGTTTGAAATTTTGAATTTAATATTGTCTGATGCCACTCTGTTTTGATAAAACCACAAATGTTGTTATTGGTGCACAGAGTAAATTTCATGTGAGTTACTGAGGATTTGGGTGCCTGTTGGATAGATGATGGATAAAATTGGGTGTTACATTATAGTTTGGGGGCTTGTACTGAATACATTTCTTAGGTACTTCAAATCAGATTGAGTTTTAGACCTATTTTGTGGTACTCTGGTACTTAAGAAAGTATCTCAAGTCATTGGAGGCGATTGCATAGTTATTCTGGAATAGTAATGGTTAGGATGCAGTATCTAAATGCTATGCTGTTAACGAGTGAGCGGAAAAGTAACATTTGCACTTTAAATGTTACATTCTCAAAATGGATATTACTGTGTGCTTTACTCAGTTTCGTGGACGCCATGGCTCAATTGACATATGATGCTGCATCGGCACCATTGGCCAGCACATGCCTTATGCCATCTGAGCCATTGTGATGGCAAATTATTTATACATACCAAATATGCTATCTTTTCTTTCATATATACTTTTATAAATAAGAACATGAATTGGATTGCATAGATTTACAGGCTGTGAACCAAGCTTGTGACTTGTCCTTCTTACTGTGGTATTCTGTTATCTTTTCATTGTCCTCACTCACTGATTTTTTTATTAGAGATTTCGGAATCTCATTAAATTTTGATCTACCCACGAAAGTTCAGAATTGTAGAAGTTCATGTAATTGGTAATTATGTTAGTAATTGGGACTTTATGTAATTCTTATAATTAAATTTGAGCACTGACATTTTTATGCTTATCAACATTGAGGTTCATACTATCCCGGTTTCTGTAGGTTTTGTGCATTAATTTCATATAGATTATTTCTTGCCACCTTGTCAAGTATATATGGATATACACAATATGCATTAGTCTTCTGTTTAACTAGCTGTTCTTCTCTATGGATTATTTATTCTCAGGGGATTTCTGCACTTGGAATTTGTGTCACCATGAGCAGTCAGGAACAAGTTAAGAGGTATAATAGGGCAAGAACTAGGAAGCGAGTGCTAGATGTTGATCTCAATACTGTGCCGCAATGTGAGAATCGCGATCAAGAGGGGCCATCATATAATACTAGGTCGCAGGACAGGCAGGCAGCTCAAGGAGTCACCACAACACAACCTCCACCAATTGATCTAGAGGCAATAGATGATGATGTTGTTCTTTGTTCACCTAGAGCATTTGCCCAAGTACATGAATTTTCTGTCTATTACTTTTTATTACCATAATATTGATCTAATTCAGTTGTTTTCTGCAATCTTCCATGCATTTCTATGGCTACGTGTATATACTGATCAATTTTCTTACAGGCCAAAAATAATTCCAGGAGGAACTGTCGCCGGACTATTGTGGTTGACTTAGAGGCTGGTAAATTGTTGTGAAATTGGTTTAATTGAGTAGCCATTTTGTGTATTTGTTTAAATTGTTTTAGATGAATCTCTTAATACATAAGGACAGAAGCTAATATTATGATGAAAAGTTACCATGATGTTGGTGTTTTCTGAGCTGGCAAGTTCTTGGCTGCCTTTGTGAATTGCTATTTGTCCTTGATAGTTTTAAGTCTAATAGTTACACATTAATAAACAGCATGGAAAGTTTTATGGCTGCTATTGAACTTAGTTGGTCACCTTAAAAATAACTTCTTGTCGTCAATACTGTTGGAAAGTGTTGAAGTTTCTCGACCTTTTTGTGTCGATTTTGATATTTCATTTGAGATATGATGTAATGTTCTTCCATAATTCCCTGTGTTTTATTTTCTGGAAAATTTGTTACTGATGTGGTAAATGATTACTACAGAGGAAAGGTTATCTCGCAACAAGCGCAGAAGGGTTCCCTCTAATCAGCCTATAATAAATTGTGAGCTTTACATAAACCTCGAAGACGGCAACAATTCAATGGTAAAAATCTATTTTGATGCATGAGTATTTATTATCTAAGGTCAGATATGGAAAGAAACACATCTGTAATGAACCTATCAAAATCACTCTAATCATGCTATAATATGAAATAAGGTTTTTTTTTATTTTTTTATTATTATTGTTATTATTATTGTTATTGCATTTATCTGTAATCTAGTTTTGAACTACGGCTTTGGATTGGTGGTATGGCTCACTTTACCATCATATGCTTTTCTTTACTATAGTGGGTGGGTGATCTGCTGTTGTTGTTATTAGCCCCATCGTTTACAGTTATCATCTTTGAATGAATTTCAGAGAAAAAGTGGACAAAGCACACTTACACCACCATTACCTCCAGTGCCACCAGAGGACCCTACATTCAGCTGTCCGATATGCATGAGCCCCATAGTGGAGGAAACATCAACGAAATGCGGTCACATATTCTGCAAGGCATGCATAAAAGCTGCCATCGCTGCTCAGAGCAAATGTCCAACCTGCCGAAAGAGAACTACTGCAAAAGATTTAATTCGAGTATACCTTCCCGCTACTAGAAGTACTTGAGGTATCCATTCCCATTGGTGCCTTTTACGTGATGATCTATCTTTCGAAGTAGTAGTAGTAGTAGTAGTAACAATAATAGTAATAATGCCTGCTCTTCATCTATTGCCCTATTTGAGGTTGCTGCTGCTTCTCCTGCTGTATTGTGAGGATGGCACCCAGAAAACAGGTGGTCGAGGATTAAGAGCTCTTTCTGTGGGTCACGGCGCTGTGTTTGGTCTTCATTTCAATGCCCATTTACCCATAGTATATCATCTGCCATAGGTGATGATAGACGACTCTTTTACTATCCGTTGTATTAGTGAATATGCTGTGGTGCGACGACGATGATGATGATGATACCTTGTATGATTTATTTGATTGCATAATTTACTGTTTCCCAAAGCAAAGCATTTTTCGTTTTGTGATTGCAACAGCAGCATAATTTACTAGTATTTTCAAGATGTCTTACAAGTAGTAATCATCCAACTCCAATTTGATTTCCTTTTCTCCATGGCCTCTACTCTTCTGTTTTGGAGTTAATTTGTCCAAGAGACCATACAGTACAGCTGTGGCTTGTGGTTGATATGATAATTAGACAGGGATTGTAAATTGTCTGTGCAGTTATAAACACAAAGCTTATATCATGCTTGTGGTGTGGTATTTGTACTAGTTAAGAGTGATGTAGATATCCATGGAGAACTTCTTAGTCTTATGACGATGAGAATAGAAATTCGAAATATGACAAAGGGTTATATAACATTACATTTCTCTCAAATATATTATTATTATTATTATTATTATTATTATTATTAATTTATAATATTAAGCAATCTAATTTGTCAGTTATGTTGAAATGTTACAAAATAATAATTTTATATTATTATTTCATCAGTCTCACTTCCCCTTTAATGTGGGAATAGCTTGGTTCATCAATTTTTATTTATTCTTTTAGAAGATTTTAAATAATGATTTGATTGTTAGAGTAAAAATCATTCGGTCTATTCAATATCAAAATTATCAATTTTGTGCGATTCTTTTATCAATTTTGATTTTACTCAAATAAAAATTTATTCATTAAAATTGAAGTTGCGTTGATTACCCTCCAATAATGGTGGTATTGTCTTCTCATAAGATTAAAATAAATAAAGTTAAAACTAATAAAAAAATTTCAACAACATTAAAATTGATAATTATAATATTCAACAGTATAAAAAATAGATTGCTATATCCTCTTTACCCTCCCGAACAAATTTTTCGGTATTGTAAGAGAAGGAGAGTAGACCAGACCAATCTTGATTATAAATTTTGCAAGAAAGATATAATTTTTCACCATTGGCCGCCTGGGCACCGACCCACTGACACATTGCAGGCAGGCAGGCAGGCAATAAGGGAATTGGGACTCTGGTTGAATCAATCAAAGCCCTAAATTATTTAATTTCTCAAAATTGCGCGACAATGGCGAGCAGCGATGTGGAGGCTGGATTCGCCAAGCTTCAAGGCGAAGACTTCGAGTACTACATGCAAACATACTCTATAATCCTCGGCCGCAACTCCAAGAAATCAACCGTCGACGTCGACCTCGCCTCCCTCGGCGGCGGGATGAACATCAGCCGCCACCACGCCCGCATATTCTACGACTTCCAGCGCCGCCGTTTCGCCCTCGAGGTTTTGGGCAAAAACGGCTGCTCCGTCGAGGGGGTGCTCCACCTCCCGGGAAACCCTCCCGTCAAGCTGGATTCGCAGGATCTCTTGCAAATCGGGGACAAGGAATTTTACTTTCTGTTGCCCATCAGGAGCATTCTCGGTGGACTGATCGGACCGAGGCATCACGTGAGCAATTACCAGATTGGCCCCGCGCATCATTTCCGCGCAATTCAGAACCAACACCGTCACCACCACCATCATCATCATCTAGGCCTGCCTCCGCCGCCCGCGGCTGGAGGAGTAAATTATGGGAAGAAGGGGAGAGTGAGGGCGGAGTATTACGAGGAGGAGGAGGAGGGGGGAGTGGAGGATGGTTTGTCTGGAGGGAAGAGGGTAAGAATGGTTGAGGGTGTAGCCTCTGGGCACTTGGGGGGTGAGTGAGTCCCTTTTGGTTTTCTTTTGATGCCATTGTTGAATTCTTGTATGCTTTGCATCATCAGTATGTTATTTTTATGCTCTCTGCCTTTTGTTTTGCATGATGTTCAGTGCAATTAATCGATGGTGCTTTCAATATCTGCTCTTGTGTGATGTTCCACTTTGTTTCCTTGGCTAACGAAACTGCACTGCACTGCTCTGCTGCTCAGATGAGATGTGTGACTGTTTCCTAGTTTTATGTGGAGATATTCTCATGATTGCAATTGTCGATAATTGTCTGAAATCTCCATCTGTTGCTGGATGTCAAGACTTGCGAATTGCAGCATTATTTACAAGATGTCTTTATTGGTAATCATACAATTCCGATTGACTGCAGATGATAAAGAGGGCAATGGAAGACCAAATGTGGATCGGGACGCTGACAACCAGCAGCTACTTAGTTTAGAAGAGAAGGAGGTTGTATCTACGGTGGCTACAGTGTTGTCTGATTTGTGCGGTCCTGGAGAATGGATGCCGATGGATAAACTTCATTCTGAGGTCAATTTATTAGTATTGTCTTTTTCTCTGTGTTTACCCCCCTCCCTATAGGGCCGCAAACAGTCCGAAGCAAATTGATTCCTACCCTAAACAAGTTGAGCTTGATTCAACTTTTAATAGAATGCAGCATGAGGAGCTTTCAGTATAAAAGTTTCTAAGTTTGAGCTTGAGTTTGCGCCCATGCATAGTTGAGTTCAATATACCATATAAAGTCGTGTATTTTTATATCAATTAAAATGAATAAAGTAATCTAGTTGTTGGTGAAAATATCAGGGATACATTTGTACTTTCACAGTTAATCTGAACATTGAGAGAGGCAAGTTGCATGTCAGTGAGCTCAGTATTGGCTTGAGCTCACTTTGATGGGCTCGGATTGCTTGAGTCGAGCCTCGTAATCGGTTGCAGCCCTGCACCCGATGCCCGTAATTTTCTTTTGAATGGTCTTACAATGATCAGTCTTTTGCTTCTTAATTAATTGCTTAGCTTAGTACTATATTGCAGATGTATGTGGCTGGTGTAATAAGTTTATTGAGAAAATTTTAGTCAAGAAAATGGCATTTAGAGTTCTCCCTGTTTTCCCTTTTGTCCTCCTTGCATTAGGATAGGAGATTCATCAGTTGCATTTATGTTTTCTTTATGGTATTAGTTGTTGTCCAGACTATTCTCTGGTCCGTCCAGGTACTCATAATCAGCAAAATTGTATTGAATGTGCAGCAGATGGTGGAACAATTTGGGAATGTGTGGCATCACAGCCGGGTGAGGAGATACCTGACGTGCGAGCAGGAGGAGGAGTATCCAGCAGCAGGCTCAGAAGCTGCAGCTGCTGCTGCTAAGGAGAAGCCCTGGCTGGGATTGATGATGCTGGTGCGCAAGTACCCGGAGCACTTTGTGATCAACACAAGATCCAAGGGGCGGCACACTCAGGAGTTTGTGTCTCTTGTCTCGCTGCTCTCCTGACCGACCCTAATCAATCTTCCTGAGTTCCATTATTCTCTCGCTCATTCAGGTTTGCAGCAGCCATCTCCTACTAGTATTCTGGTAATGTAAATCTGATGACATCTATCCATCTATCGATCGATCTCTTTGTGTATGCTTGTCTGCTCTGACCTGACTTGATTGGATTCGGTTCGACTCGACTCGACTGTAAATTAGAGAGAGGCTAGAGCGTGGTTTCGATGGGGAACTCAACTAACCAAGGGCAACGGATCTTGTTTTGTTTCTAGGCATAGTCAGTCTGGAATGGAACTATGGAAGAAAGCCTTACTTGCAATTAAATGGTTCGTTGTTTACATTAAATATATACATAGGGTTTGTTTATAAACTAATTCGTTGTTTACGCTATCTAATTACAAGTATTGTTAGATATAAATTATAATCATAAATAATGGTTTCACTCACTTACCTTTTCATTTGATTTATGTCATCCTACTAAATATTAAAATATTTTAATTTGTATTACGTTTCTATATACTAACTGATATTAATATATACTCCATCCATCCGTCCAAAAGAGTTGTTTTGTTTTTACATTTTCGTTTCAAAACAATTGTCTTGTTTCTTTATTATTTAGTAATTGTGGTCCACTTTATAACAAAATTATTCTTATTTTTCCAAACATCCCTAATTATTACTCTAATCTATTTTTTAAAATCCTTCAAAAAGCAAAGGCATTATAGTTTTTTACATCCTATTTTATACTTACTTTCAATTAAATACTATTATTTCTTAATTCTAGGAAATAGATATTTGTTATGGGATGGACTAAAGTGAAAAAGATAGAGAGAGTAATATAATTTGTATGACATTTGACGGGATCAGCATGGATATATACAAAATAATTAAAAATATGTTAATTAATTTTAAGAAATTAATATGCTATTTCGGAACAATACATATTAAAAATAAATAGTTATTATTATAATTTTATTCTATATGAAAACATGGTTGATAATTTTAAAATATTTATTAAATGAATAAAAGAAATATATATAATATTAAAATTATATTTTATATAGCTATCATTTTACAGAGATTAAAATGAGTTTATTATGATATAAAAAATAGAGAATTTTAGATATAGATGAATATATTTATTTATTAAGTAAATAAATAAAAATAAACAATTTTGAGTGAATCCTATATATTTATATGTTATAAAGTTAATTTGAGTGTTTTAATTTAAATAATTATTTAATGTGATATAATTAAACTTTGATACGATATTTTTTTAATTTAAAATTAAATTTTAATATAGTATAAAAAAATAAATACTATTTAATTTAATATTTTGGAAGAAAAAAAAAAGTTAATGAATAGAGAAACAAATCAAATCACTCAAAGAGACACACCTAAAGTTGATTTATATTTCGTTCGTCAAGTCATATGTAATCATTTTATCATTTCTGTATGTCCAATTCAAATGTATTTATTTTCTTTTTAGTAAATATATTTTTACTTTAATAAAAAATATAGCTACACTTCATATAATATTACAAATAATTCATTAAAAAGTAGACAAAAGTAAATGAATTTAAGGGCAATATTACCTTAGGGTGTGTTTGTTCGGGGGTTTAGATTTTGAATTGAAATTTGAATAGTAAATTTTTTTTTATTTGAATAGCAATATGATGTGATGTTTTGAATATAAAATTAATTTTTAGTATAATATAAAAATAAAAAATAGATGTTTGATTTGATGTTTTGAAGGAAAAAAAATTGAATGAATAGTATTTTTAAAATCCAATCCCCCAAATACACACCCATTGTACTATATAACCTACATAATATTAATAAAGTACACATTCAAAAAATAAGTGAATATATGACTCAAACAGAAAATGTATATATTAAGGGTGTGTTTGTTTGAGGGTTTGGATTTTGAGTTGGGATTTGAATAGTAAAAATTTTGAATTTGAATAGTTGTATGATGTGATATAAATAGGTGTTGATGTGATGTTTTGAATGTAAAATTGATTTTTAGTATAATATAAAGAATGAAAAATAGATGTTTGATTTGATGTTTTTGGGGGGAAAAAATTGAATGAATTGTAGAAATCCAAACAAATCCCTCAAACAAACACACCCTAAATATTATGTGTTTTGGGACATAAAGAATATATGTTTATTATCGATCATATTGAATATGGATTATATATATAATATATTTTATACTATGCTATTTGGTATATAACATTTACTATCTCCTTGTCGAAAAATAGACATTTGTTTTTTTTTTTTGCACATATTTTAATGTAATATGTATTTTTTAGTATTTTGTATCTTTTATAGTAAAAAAAGTAGAAAAATATTCTTTTTCGTTCAATTAAAAAGTTGTTTATTTTTTGCATGTAGATTTTTTAATATTAGTATTTTCTCCGTTCCTTAACAATCTATCTATTTTTCTATTTTGGTCACTCCCATAACAAAGTATTCATTTTTTAGTAACGGTATTTTCTACTAACACTAAAAATACCCCTTACAATTTAAAATATATATTACATAACTATCATTATCTTTATGTCACACAATACTAATAAGGTTATTTTAATAATTTCTACTTTATTCATACCACATTTCAATATAATACTAATATTTCTAAAACTTCGTGAAAAAAGAAAACGGATAATAGATAAGGGGTGAAGAGAGTATTATATTGGATTGTACTAAAAAAAAAAAAAACAAAACAAAACAAAACAAAAACACTCCTATAAGTATTAGTATTGTGTAATATAAAAGTAATAACATTTGTGTAATACTTCATCCGTCTCTTAACAAACTATTTATTTTTTCATTTTGGTCCGTTCTTATAACAAAATATTCATTTATTTTTTTTAATAACTGTACTATGTACCTACCATTATAAATAATATTACAACTTATAATATATTATACAAATATTATTACATTTATATAACATAATACTAATAAGATTATTTAAGTCAATTCTACTTTATTCATATTATATTTCAATATAATACTAATATACCTTAAACTTCGTGAAAAAAAAAACTGATATCTTTTTAAGGGACAGAGAGAGTATATTAAGTTGGAAATGTATTTATTATATTAGGTAAATACTGCAATTACTAAATTAAGGAATGATAACTTTGTTTTGGAACAGATAAAAATAAAAATTGACAACCTTTCAAAAAGACGAATATAGTATTATAATTTTTTATTAAATAGAAAAATTAAATTTATTTTTATGTTAAATAAAAAAGAAAAATAAGTCTTTTTATATATATAACAGAACGAGTATTATACATGTGTTTTTCTTATAAAATTATACCCATGTGATACTTCAGATTATGGCCGGTATTTGACCAACTTCTATGTGGATATATGCTAAATTATTTGAGATTAAATTAATATTAAATTGATTTAATAGATCATTCATATTAATAATGTATTTTTTTTTTAACCCATTGTTTGTTTTAAGACAAATTCAAAGATGAGGGACCTATCCGTATAACATTTTTAAATAATAACAACCTAAATAATTATGAAGAGAGTACTTCAAACCAAAAAATTAAGGAAACAAATTATCTTTTTACCATTTGTATCTTTTATCACTCCTATGAAATATATAGTAGAAAATTTTAGGCTTTGTTTGTTTTTAATTTCAAATATAAATTAATACTATTAAGATGTGTTTATTTTGTAAAATAGTTAAAAAATAATTTTTTTTTAGGTAAAGTATAAAGAATTATATAAAAAATATAAAAATAATGAATATGCATAATATATTATTTTTTTTACAAAAAATATTTAGAAAAAAAAAAAAAAACAGAAAGAATAAGGTCTTAGTATGTTCCCATAAAAAAATATATATATAGTATTTTTTTTAAAAATGTATTCTAATTTTATTTAAATTAAAATAATATATATAATTTCAAATCAAAACCAAACAAACTATATAATATTATATAAATAAAATATTTGTACATTTAAAAGATTGTGTATTTATATAAGCAATTAATATTAAATTAATCACTACAGAAATATTAATTCAATGAATTTTTTATTTTATTAATGTTTCTCAATTGTTTTAAAATTTATTCTTTATAAATATTAGTCAATAATTCAAATAATTTGTTAAATACTATATATTTTCTCCATCCCAACTCAAATATTATTTTTACCTAACTTCACTCCAAAATATCAATTTTTATTTTAATAAAAATAATACCAAAATACTTTTAATTTTTATTTAAATTACAAATATATCATTACACAAGAACAAAATCTCAAAACTTCTTCCGCAACGGAAGGAATATATTTTAAGATTAAGATTATATAATTTTTTTCTACACAAATTAATAATGTTTTAGAGCTATTTTTTTAAATGTCAATTCTCTAATCTTAATAAAAAAATATAATTGTTTTACTTTGATGTATAATAGCAATACCTTTTTTTTTACCAAAAAATACAAAATATCATAACTTATATATATATATATATGCTGAAAATGCTATTATTGTTGGAAATGAAATACATAAGAATGAAAAAATAAATGTGTACTCAAAATTTAATAAATACTTGAATCAAATTTTTATAAATTGCAAAATCGTTTCTCTAAAGTAAAATGGTTTATGCCCTTTCGAAATAATACTACTATTAAGAATATGATAATTGGGCGAAAAAATCAAATAAGGGTGTTGGTTTATCAGGGAGAAAACTAGAGAGGAAAAAATCTCTGGTTGGGAAAAGCTTATTCGGTTATGATACAAAGAAATAATCAATCATAATTAAGAAATACACCTGTTGGATTTTAGGAATTAGATTATTACAACTTTAACCCCATGTTACCAATCTTCCTTGTAGTGTTCAAACCGCTGTGGCCTCTAGGAGTGATGCCAATGACTCCAGATTTGACCCATATATTTGAGGTCGAGTTCAATTATTTGGTTGTTGATCAATATTGTGTACTTTAATCTGATTTGGATTGGACCTCCGGTCTAAGGATAAGGATGGTTCCTACCCGGATCTAGACCCAATAAATATATTAATATTATATATATATATAATTTTTAACGATATAAATTATACTAAAAATACTTTTTTTAGTTTAATTAATTTATTTTTTATTATAATATTTTTGAATAAAAAACATAAATTTTAATATATATCGAATGAATCTGGATCAGATTTTATGTTACAATTTAAGAATCATAAAAGTTTTTCAAGTTTATTGGATCCATTGGATCTTGTCAAGTATATGTGGGTGTCGATATGACCTTGTCCAATTTGGATCTCGGGTTGACTGAATCCGACCTATTGTTATCTCCAGTTTCTGACAGTCTCTCTTATATTTCACGTCCATTGACTTCCTTTGACCTTGTTAACTCGATCTCTTATTGAAATTCGGCAACTCTAGTAGCATAAGGTCTGACTCGTGGGGAGGTTTCTAGTAGGTGGTCTTGATCACTTTGAGATCCTCCGGCCTCGGCCTCGTGTGTCTGTCTTGCTTTTCTTCCTGTTCTAAGTCCTTATTGTATGGGCTTTGGGTTTTAGACTTCTGTTCTTCGGAGGTTTTCTAATCTTGCAAGCTTTGATTTTTTGCACTCTCTTTTATTGGGTCTTTGCCGCATGAGGTTTTCCCAATGTAAGTTATGGTCTTCTTTATTCTATCCCACGATAGATCATACAAGTCCCGGTCTTCTTTATTCTACCCCACGGTTGGATCTTGTATTATAATAAACCTTGCAACTTTGGTCCAACAACACCATAATTAATCTTCTTTTTTCTAAAATCGGAATTCGATTTAAAAATTTAAAAATAAATAAATAAATTAAACTCATTATATGATTTTCTAAATTCTCTAAAAATTCCGAGACAATTATAACGAAGAAAAGAAAATGATAGATTTACCATATAATTGATGAAGAAGTGTATTGCATTAGTCACAAATATATTAATGCACATTGAGATAATATTTTGACCTATGCAAGAAAAAAATTAATGATATGTGTGCTTTAATAATTCGCGTCTCAATTAAAGCAAACCAAAGCAATTATTATCCAATAAATAATTTAAATAATTAATAAATAAATAGGTAGTCTTCAGGATCCCCTCCTCCATTACCGACCTCTCCAATTTTTATTTTTATTTTTATTTTTTCAGTTTCACACATTATTATTATTATTATTATTATTATTATTGTTATGGTTGGTATCATTATTATCGTTCCCAGGTGCATCCTTGAAATGACAAGTATACCCCTCCCTGTTCTTCGACCGGGCGTACATTCCGTACAGATACGAACAGAATCCCCAGAGGCACATCACGGTGGCCACCGCCTTCACGCCGCCGAAGCCGTCGCCGAACACCGCCACCCCGCCGATCACATTCATCGCGAGCAGCGCGGTCGTGCAGATCCCGCCGGTGAGCGACGACGTCAGGTACACCATCCCCGACGTCCCCAGGAAGCACACCTGCCACGCCACCAGGCACCCAGCGATCGTCCACCAGTAGGCCGCGGGGCCCCTGTCGAAGACCGCCTTGCTCTCCGCGGCCATGTCCCTGAACCCTCCGTCCGCCGCCATCCCGACGGTGGCGAAGACGGTGGCAGCGATCTGCATCAGCAGCTGCATCTCGACGACCATGGCGTAGCAGCGGACGCGGCGGTAGATGATCTCCATGAGCGGCAGGTAGAGGGCGAACATCAGGCCGGCCCCCAGCGTGGCGAAGAAGCCCAGCAGGTACTTGGCCGGCGTGACCCCCGGGGGGCGCTCGTGGCTGGAGATGAGGGCGAGGAGGACGGAGCTGAGGGTGATGAGGACGACGCAGTTGAGGTTGTTGAAGGAGACCCGCTGGCGGACCATGAGGGCGGAGAGGACGAGGTTGAAGGCGAGCTGGGTGGAGAGGACGAGGGAGGCGGTGGAGACGGGGAGGTAGGAGATGCCCCAGGAGATGAGGAGGTTGTTGACGCCCGTGAAGACGCCGACGGCCAGGGAGAGGAGGAGCAGCGCGCCGGTGAAGCCGCCGGAGAAGGGCCTGCGGGCGGAGAGGCGGGGGGCGACGAGGAAGACGACGGGGAGGAGGACGGGGAACCCCGCCGACTGCACCCAGGTGGAGACCCACCGGCTGGAGCCGCCGTGGGCGAAGTAGTACTTGGTGATCAGGCTGGCCGACACCGACCCCACGAACAGGCACCCGTAGTTGAGCCCCACCAGGGCGGCCCATCTGTATTTGGAGCTGCCTTGAGGAGGAGATGCTGGCGGAGGCGATGGCGATGGCGATGGCGATAGCTCCGAGGAAGGCGCAGGCGCAGCCATTAGAGCGAGCGGATCGGAAGAGTCGAGTCGAGTCGAGTGGGTGGATAATTTATATATATAATGAGCAAATCTGCAGAGAGAGAGATGGATATTTATATGTATTTGCAATTGGGATTGGATTGGATTGGATTGATTTATGAAATATTTAAAGCGCTCTAATGAATTTGATTTTCATTCATAAGCACTTACTAATTAACTACATGGCGATTTCCGATATACTGATAAAGATCCCTGGAGGCGGGCACCGGATGGATTTAGACCATTCATGCTGCGGGATCTGCTTGGCTGGTGTTAGAGTCCCGTCCCCTTCCCTGGAATTCCTCCATCTGGCTACGGCCCGGAAAAAGGGTGAAATTAGTTGGGCAGCAGTCAAAAGCTCATGAGGACATCATGAACATGCAAACAAACAAACAAATTATCTCTCTCTCCCGTTGCTGTGTTTATTATATATATATATATATATATATATAGATTATATTTACGGTAATTCTATCGTGAGATTTGTAGAATTTTTTATTACTTTTGAAAATTCAGTTTCGTATTATAAACCCATTATTATTAGAATTATTATTGTTATTATATCATCTACTTGAATTGTGTTAATTGTATTGCATGAACTTATAATAATAAGACTAAAATAAGGTGGGCGGGCAGGCAGGGAGGGCATGCATGCATACGCACAAGACAAGAGAAGACAGGCTTTAAAACTAAGAATTTGTTTGGCACTCAACGGAAAAAGTCGTAGATTAATGAGCCCTGCCCTGCTGCTGGAGGCTGGAGCCTGCCTGCACGCCCGGATAAGTCTCTTTTTTAGTTTTTTCAATTTATTTTTGGGATATAATAATAATAACAACAACATATATTATGATTTAAGTTGCCAAAAGTTGTTGTAATGAAATCAAAGGTATTCTGTATATGTGATTTGGGAGATGTTATAGAAATCTTAGTATGTGTTTACCGTAACATTATTTCCATAACAATAATATATATTGAATAAACCTTATATTAAGATTTGATCTATCCAAAAATAAATTTCCATAATCCTAAAGCATCGCAGCATAATATATATAGAGTATCGTCAAAGAAGAGGATGATAGTGATTTTAATTTCAATCTAATTATTTGTAAATGAAATAAAATAAACAAAACGAAACGAAACAAATGTCAAATGATTGATTGGGTTCTAGGAAAGCAAGAATCCGTACTTTGTCAAACTAGTTAATTATACTGCAAAATCTCGGAGTATATTCCGTAAAGAATGATATAGTGGTATGAGGATTGAACCTGTGTGAGGTTATAGGTTCAAGTTCCCTGACCTCAGTTTACTTAAATTTTAGGCCGAATATCAATTAAATTGAAATCCCTCACTAAGAACATCCGAAACTTAAAAAAATTAATTAAATTAAATATGAAATGAAATTAATTAATTAATTTATATGCAAAATGCAAAATTATCTTGGTAATGTAAAATATACAAAAGGTACATATTTTCATATTATTAATTCAACTGTTAAACGATGATGTCAACATATATTATAGTCTCATACATAAAACAATATATATGAGTGCAAGTAGATCAGAGAGGCTATGCATATTTAGTTTGTTTGATTTTTATTTAAATATATAGTATTTTAATATGATATTTTATAAAAATAAATAATGTATTTTTATTGATGACGGTATAAACCGAATAATATTGATCTAGATTTGAAATCGAAACCAAACACATTTTATTATGTAATTATGTTGGCCAAATAGACGATGGAGCATTAATGGGTCGGGTCCATATACTTAATTGTAATGTAATTAAGTAAAGTATACTATATGTTAAACAGGTGAAAGTTGATAATAGCAAATTTGAATATCTACTAGCTAATTAAGATTTTTTTGAAGAGCTTCGTGTGTTATATATATATATTATATGTTAATATTATAATGGGAGTGCGAGCTGTGTGTAATTATTTAAGTCATATTCGCTCAGTAACAATGTTTTATTATTAATTAATTAATTTTATTATATATTGGATTTGGCGATTTAGTATAAAAAACTAGGCGATCTGAATATTGTCCGCACATAAATATATACATGTATCTCAATCTCGTTTTGGTGTTGAAGATGGATTATAAATAAAACAAATTCAATAATAGTATCGCTATTCATAATGAATGGTCACATCGCATTCACGTATATTTTAACTAGAACAACTCCCATATATATATATATATTTAGCAGCCTATATTAATTTAGATAAATTAGGGGGTTGCAAAGATAGTTACTACCTCACATGTCTGTCTGCTATATGATCTTAGAAATATATATATATATATATATATGTGTGTGTGAAGAAGAAAAAAAAATGTGAAATAAATAATATACTTAATATTAAGTGTTCGCCACAAATTAGATAACCGAATCTTCAAAAGAAGTAATTTCATTTCATTAATATCGATTAATTTCATATTGATAACCACCTATTTACGACCAATATATATAATTAGGTGTAATAAATAGACCAAAAACCAAAACTACCAATAATGACTTACTGTATATCAAAATGTTCTCAATTTATGCAACAAACAAAAAAAAGTCCCTTAATTAAAAATTAGTATAACCATATAGAATGTGAAAACAAGATTTCACCTACAGCCCCCCTTTTTTGTTTATCACACTACTAAAATTATGTGCTATTTTTCTTAATAATAATAACATATGAATTATTGTTCATCCTATCATTTTGAATAAAAAAATACATTATTTTCTCTTATAAAATATTATTTCAAAATATAATTTGAATTATTGTTTTGTGAAATAGTTTAAAACAATATTTTTTATGTGAAGTATAAAAAATTATGTAAATAATATAAAGATAATAAGTGTGTGTAATATATTAATTTTTGGGGAGAAATATATTGATTTGTTTTGAAAAAAGAAAACACCTTCAAACTCTAACCAAAATCAAATAAATATGTTGCAAAAAAAAAACTCAAACTCTAACCACAACCAAATAAAAATGTTAACCCAAAAAAATAAATAAATAAATAAAACCACATCAACAATATGTTAAACCGTGTAAATAATGTACTACTACTAAATATGCAATTACTAAACATTAAATATGTTGATTAACTCTCGTTTTTAAATAAATAAATAAATAATATCCTCTCAAATTTGAGTCCCATCATACCCAATTTGTTCATCTAAGAAAACATACATAGATCAGCACAGTTGAAATAATATGAAGCTAATAATGTTATTTCTCTGCCATTATAATAAGTGGTATGTAATAGTTTCTAGAACGTTGAAAGTCAAAAGAAAATATCTTGAATCTGGTTCAAAAAGTTTAAATATCATCTCTCGTGACTCAACGATATTTAAGGCATGTTTGTTTATTTCTTCTACAGTATTTTATTTCCATTAAATTAATTTGGTTTTAAAATTCTAAATGAAATACTATAAAGCTTTCTCAAGCTTAATAATATAAAAAATAGATAGTTTGTTAAGGGATTAGAGGAATAGTATATATGATTAAAAAAATAATAAAATATATATTTTAATATTTTAAATATTACTTCCTTCGTTAGGAGAATTTAATCTCAATTCTTTGTTAAAATACAAAGGAAATTGGCTAAATTTCCCGCATATCACAATAAAATATATATCATGTTGTAAAACATAAATTTTATATAATATAAATAGGTAAAAAAAAATATAGTATTTATTAACCTAAACTAATTTTATAAAAAATAAAAAAATAAATATAGATAAAAATACTTATTTATTAAAAAAACAAAAAAAAAAGTTTTAATGGACCTATATTTAATATTTATTAAATATATTTACATAAATATAATTTATCAAAAATAAAAATATGTCACATTGAGATGAGATAATTAAAATTTTAAAAAATAAATATCAATTAAAATGCGGCCGAGTAAATAATGCGGGTGTATTTGTTTAGTTAAATTTTTAGAATTTTATTTTTATATATGAAATACATAAAATTGCATAGAATATATAAAAAAAATATATATATATATGTAATATATTAATTTTTTAAAAAAAATATAGAAAAGAACAAAGTCTGTATATTTTTTTTTTCTCTATATATATATATATAGTTAATCTATAAAAATATCTTGAGAATTTGCTAGTTGAAATTCTCTAACAAATAGGCCAAATCTTTTGCATATATTTCAATGGCAAACTTAATCTTTTTTAGTTTTGGTGCTAGTCTTTTTATGTAAGGAATTGTTTAAATTTTGCATCACGTGTGTGTTCTTTTTTTTAAAAAAAAAAAAAAATACATATTTTTTTCAAAAATATTATATATATCGATTATTTTTATATTTTTTTACATAATTCTCTATGCTTCATATCAAAAAATTTTTCCTTCAAGATAAAATATTGACTTTGTTTATCTAATATTTTTTATTGAGATAATTCTCAAAAAATATTGCTAAAATTATTATCACAAAAAATATAGAACATGTATATTATATATTCATAAAAAAATAATAATAATTAATAATTTAATATTAAATATTATTTTTATATTAGTAATTATACATTCAGTTAAAAAAAACACAAAATGAACGGAGTCATTGCAATTCCAAAATAATAATAATAATAATAAATAAATAAATAAAGCATATTCAAGCGTATAAAACACAGAATTACAATTAGAGTGAGTATTGTAATAATGTAAGTTGGTATAAAAATCAGAGTCAAGTTGTTAAGTGGGCCGCGTTGATTAGACTTGAACAATTTCAAACGCTCAGGATAAAGCCTCCTGCTTTACCTATACCTAATCTTTTGGCCCAACACATATGGGTTCTATAAACCAAACAATGGGCCGCACTGACCAAGACCCTTTTGATTTATATTTTTATAATATTATATAATAAATATTTTTTATATATTATTAGACGATAAATATATAAAATTTAAAAATTATTAAAATAATGAATTGACGGTGGTGACGCCATAACATAACATGTACTCCCTCCGTCCCCAATCTATTTATCCATTTTGTTTATGCATGGAATTTTAGGAATATTAGTTTTATATTGGGATAAAGTAAAAATAAAGGTAAAAATACTAAATTAACCTTTAGTATTGTATGATACAAAGGTAATGGCATTTCTCTAATATATTGTAAATTAGAAAGGTATTTGTAATGTTAGGTAGATAGTATAATTACTAAAAAATAAAAATAAAAAATAAACGGATACTTTGTTATGGGATGGACCAAAATGGAAAAATAAATAGATTGTTAAGAAATGAAGTATTAAAATAAGTAATTTATTTAAATGCTGATATGAATATGATAGAACGAAAGAAATTGTAAAAGTAATGTTAATATGTGTATATATATTCACTTATGCATCGATCTAACGTGTATTTATTCTGAGGCATCAATATAATATAGTGTGTATGTGGCTCTCGCTCCGGTAAGGACGTGTTTTTTTTTTTTATTTATTTATTATTATCATTATTATTATTATCGTTTATCTCGTCTAATGTAATTTAACATAAATATTTTATTTATTCAAAAAATGTTATATTCAATACAACATAGTTTTCATTTAAAACATTTAATCCAAAATCTATTTTTCTAATATAATAATTGATATTAATGATGTATGACTAATGATTATGCCAACAATGATGTATGAAAGTTTTGTACGGGCAAATGCATATTTGTTCGATGGTAGGAAATTCTTGGTTGATTGTTCCACTTGCATCCTCTATAGAAATCATTCGAGAAAATACATACATGTACTTTGAATTAATGACACGTAACATCTTCTGAAAAATCTTTTTGGTATTTTTCATTATTTTAGAAAAACATATTTGTATGGACAAATAATATATATAATGTGTGTGGTAAAAAAAATTAAACCATTGCAAACGTGTTGAAATATAATTGATAAAACATGCTAAAAAATCTCGTAAACGATAGTCTAATGGTATAAAAGTGAACTTATATACTTCCCACATCATAAAACAAACCAAAGAGATAATATATTTATTAATTTCAACAATGATAACAAAATAGTGCTATAAATTTTATATATTACAATACCAATAGTATACATTAATATTGTTTCAATTTTTCTCCAGCTTCACTTCACTTTGTGTAGTACATTTTTGTTTTGGTAATTAAGTCATAGTGTGTTTAATTTGAAACTTAGGATATGTTTTCTGTATCTTTTTTTTCAAATTTTATGATTTGAAGTGAAATTGTTAAATGTGATATCTTATATAAAAATAAATAAATATTTGATATGATAACTTTTTAAAATAATAATAAAATAAAATAAAATTGCATAGTTATATTTTAAAGATGTAACTGAAAAATGGAGTGGAACATTCTAGATCACCTCACCACACTAAGAGCATCCACAATGACAACATACACAAAATATCTCTATCTCTTCTCTTTTTTCTACGCGTCCACGTGTGGTTATGGAAAGACAGAAAAAGACATACAATAGCTTACGAATTCATTAGATAGAATACGGGTGTTTTGAGAAATGCGTTTGTGTTTAAATAAATAAATAATAATTATATCTGTTTTCTTAATCCTAATTTCAACACATACATACGGTATTTAAAAAATAAAAGTAATGTATGTTTTATATGTGCCGTGTTAGAGAAAGAAAAAGAGGTTTTAAATAATTTCGACGTTGCCTCAACTGCACCAATCCTTCTCCAAGCCCGTCGACTCTTTGACCTTGGAAAAAAGAGTTGATGTAAGCCCAAAAATCATCGACCGAAAAGATAGGACTGCGAGTTATATGGTGACGCCATCAATTTTTATGCCCCTAGTAGGTTATCAATAGTCATTTTTGTAATTTATTATGGATTGGTAACAGGGGTGTCAAAAGGAAACCCGATCCGAAAAATCGAATTCGTTCGATCTGAAATTTTTTAGGTTTGGGTTTGGGTATTTCGGGTTTGAAAAAAATCAGGTCGATACGAATTTGAAACGAAAAATATTCGTGTCGTGTTCGGGTCGTGTTTCGGGTTGACCTGATAACCTGAAATATCAAAATCGGGTTAGGTTTTGGGTTTTGTGTTTCGGATTGACCTGAAATTTTTATTATTATTATTTTAATTTATAATATTTATATTATTTTAAATATAAAATAATATAAAAATAAAAATGATATTTTTTAGGTCAATTTAATTTTTTTTAAATTTTTGGGTCTGTTGCGTGTCGAATTTGTTCGGGTTTCGGGTGACCTGAAACTAATTCAGGTCAACCTGAACCCGACATGAAAGAATTCGTATCGTGTTCGGGTCTAGGGTTTCAGGTCAGATTTCGAGTTCGGGTCGGGTTCGGATTGACAGTTTTTTTGTTATCCTCATGGCTCAACCCGACAGGAACACTACCCAAAAACACGAATTGACACCCGGAATTGGTAGGTTGAGTTGATCAAATCAACACATTTGTACAATATATATACATATCTGGTTCTTTATTATATTTAAATTTTGATGTGACCTTTAATCCTAGTCGTAAACATAACATACAAATTACTACTATATAAAGTTTATTTGAAAGTTATCGGAGTTGACAAGCTTCGAAGCTTGTTATTTATGTGAATTATTGAGTTGGTTTTCGCCGAAGCTGACTTTATTATATAACATGACTAATTGAGCTCAAATGAAATTTCATTGTAAATTACTTATACATCTATATGTACTCTTGACACTACTTATGAAACCGTACTTCGGTTACGAACTAATTAAAATTTTTAATTTTGATTTTGTTGGCGATTGTCAATAAGAAGACAGTAATTAATTTTCAAAATAAAATATATTATTGAATAATTAATGGTATATGATACTTGTTCAAATTTGATAAATCACATATAAGAATCAAATAAAGGATATTAGAGCTCAAACAAGTAAAATTATATATACATACACGCAGGCACGCGCGCGCGTATCTTTTCTCTCTAAATTTTACGTTATCCACATATACATACATGCCTCGACACACGTCAACATTAACATTAAAGAAAATTAAAAAGAACACACAAAAAGAAGGTTGTTGCCGAGTCATCACTATCTTCTTCAATTCCTAATTCATCGTCTTGTTGGTGAAGCAGCAGCAGCAGCTCGCATGGCGGCTCCCCAGGAATGAACATTAGTATTATTATTCCTGCAGTAGTAGTGCTGTCTGGAAGTACTGGAAGAAGGGTGATTATTCGTCCTCCTCCTGCCGTTGATCATCAGCTCTGCCAGCTGAGCTTCCCACCTCCTTCGCCACTCTTGTTTTTGGTGGTGGTTGTCGTCCTCGTCCTCCTGCTGCTCCTGGTGGTGCAAGGCCCGGTGGGAGAGGGTGTCGTAGGCGTTCCTGAGCATAATGAAGCGGCGGGTGTGGTCGTCCACCCGGTCCGGCGGCGCCACGTCCGGGTGGTACTTCCTGGCCATCTGCCTGTACGCTTTCTTTATGTCCTCTAGGGCTAAGCTGCCGCTGCTTCGTCCCTGCTGCAGGCCCAGCACTTGGTACAGTGCCGCCTCCGACGACTGCTCCGCCTCCGCCTCGGCGCGCGTGGCCCTGACCCGCAGCCTCCCGCTGGAACAAACTCTTGCTCTTGCTGCTGCTGCTGGGATTCGGTTACTGTTATTGGCAGGGAAATGATCTGGGAACATCGAAGGAGGATAATTAACTGCGGGGTTGGGGGGAAGAAGCGTTGCCGTAACTGGGGACACCATTTTCTTATAATTGATTAATTAATTATATTTTCCCCCCTTTTCTCTCTCTCTCTCTCTCTCTCTCTCTCTGCTCTGCTCTGCGCTGTGCTGTGCTGTTTATTTGGTGGTGGCATTAAAAAGGAAAGGAAAGGAAGGGGGCGAGATGTTTGCTACGCACGCAGACGCAGGCGGTGACGCGATAATTATCCACTGCCTTTTCATTTTCTTTTTTTTTTTTTTTATTAATCTTTTCCTTCTACTTTGACTTGAGTTAATGGTTGACTAGTCACGGTAATACATACGTACGTATTTTCCAAGCTTCCACGCCTCCGTGTAATAAGTATTTTCATCACCCTACCGTCCTTCTTATCTATACATACTTCCTATTTTGTACAGTAAACTTAGCAAGTTTAATCCGACACAATAAGTTAAAAAGATAAAAAGTTATACTCTATATTTTATTAAGAAAATTATAAAAATATAAATGGCCGAAGATATTTTTAAAATTTAATTAGAAATTTAAAAAAAATAAAGATAAGAATCAAATAAAGATAATACTAGTATTTATTATAAATAAGTATTAAAAAAAATTAAATATTCATTTATTAATTTTATCAAAATTAATAATACAGGAAATTTAACATACAAATAAAAAATATATAGGAATAAATTTACCGGATAAGTACATGAGAATTATTTTTTCTCTTTTTTTTTTTAGTTTATTCTTCTATTTAGTTATTATTGATTTTAATTTTGGATAAAATTCTATTTTTGCATTTATGAAATTTTATGAATTTTACAAATTTAAGGAATTTTATGAATTTTATAGGTTTTGGATTAGGATTAGTATGTTTTTACTGATTATACAATTAAAGAAAATTATTTTTTGTTCTCCTAGTTATTTTTCTTCTTTTTGGTTATTTGTGTGATTTATATTAATTTGAATGGATATATATTATGATATAATTATATATTTTAAATAAATTTTAAATTTATTTATTATTATGTTATGATATTTTTTTGTTTGTAAATAAATACTATCTAGAGCTTGATTATGAGTAAAATTATTTCTATAAAATATTACATATCTTATGGAAAGAAAAATATTACTATTCAATATACAAATTATATATATATATATATCAGTTTTTTTACATTGCTTTGCTGTCATAGATATTTTTTTAAATACATTTGTTTTCAGGCGTAGGATAAAATTTAAATTTTTTTACTCAATATAATTATTTGTTAGATAAGTATATTATTGGATTGAAGCCGATGTCCACAAACTAATGTTTAAGGTGACCTGAGATTAAAGGGTTTAAACCCACGACCTTACGGTCGCAAGTCCATCACCACCACCAACGAATCAATAATTTTTATAATACATGTTGGTGATATTGATTATGTGAGTTGCAATGAATATCTGCAAATGGTAGGAATACTCAAAACTGGTTTGAATTTGTGTGGATCGGAGAGCCAATTGTTGACATTTTCTAAAGGGTCAGCGTCAACAAGTTGTTGACTGACGGTAAATGTCGGCAATCAATCGTATAACATTCATAGGACGCGGACTACTTGGGAACTTACATAAGCCGCCCTAGCCCTAGCCCTAGCCCTAGCCAATTTGGAATTGGCAGCCCAGCCATTTTCATTTCCAACTTTTGGATTAACAAATAATTATATGCATATATTTTAAAGAATAAATATTAAATTGGTAAAGTATATACATGATTGCGTGTCAATTTTATTATACTATATTTCTATTTTAGATATGAGTTAATAGAGTGGATTTTTTAATTAAAAAATTTATGTGGGGCAAAAATTACCTATAGTTAAAGACGGGTTACAAATTTAATAAAAAAAACCTTCTCAAAACCAATTTTGTTTCATTTAAATTAATAATTATACAAATTAATATTATTAGAGTACTATATTTTTTATAATTATTTTTATATTATTTAAATTTATAATTAATTTTTATATGTTTATTAGTTTTTCATTTTTTTTCACATTTTTACTATTTTTAATCATATTATATCTTTTAACTTATTTTTATACATTATTATCCTTCCATTTATGTGGTAACTGTTATATTGGTATCATTATAGTTGAAAATATATTATTGTTTCTGTGATTAAAATTCTTGAATATTTAATATATGTTTTTCTTTTAATTATTTTATTATATAATTAATTAAAAAAAACAAAGATTATATATGATACATATATCTTATTAAACAACGCGAACTTTGTATGTTGATTCCAAAACGGATGCATTCATGATAATGGCAAAATATGCTATAAAATTAAAGCACCGTATGTATTACTTTTGTTAAGGATTATATTTATTTTTTTGCGGTAATCAAAATATAGTATAAATTAAAATATAATATTAATAGAAAAATATATGTATACAAAATTATATTAATATAATAATATTTTTAATATTAAATATAATGACGTAAAAAATAAATACTCTCTCCGTCCCATTGAAAGGTTACTATTTTTCATTTTTGTTCGTCCCAAAATAAGGTTTTTATTTTTTAATTTAATAATTGTACTACTTACTTTATTATAATTCAATATAATATTAATATTTAAAAATTTACGTGAAAAAAACAAACGCCACTCTTTCCAACGGGAGGTAGGGATTATAATATTTTTAGACGCCCAACTGACTGACGTATATGATTATACAAGCGGCTGAGTCGACAAGGAGATGGAACTCCGATCGGGAGGTCCAGGACTCGTAATTCAAAGTGAGTGTGACTTCGGACAGGACAGGTAGCCATTGCCCATTTTAATTTGCCCTTGCCCTTGCTCCAATCCAATCCAATCCAATCCAATCCAATCCAATGTGACCCCAACCTTACCATATGAATGAAGGATGATGACTCATCTGAACTTGTAATGGATAGGGTTTGTCATTTTTTTATAATATAAATAAATAAAAATTTAAAAATATTTATGTATATATAATATAAATTTATAATTAAATTAAATAAATTAATATATATTTATATTATTATATTCATAATCATCTAATCAATACATATCAAAATTTTTGAACTTTAATCAAACCTAAATACAAAAGAAACATTAAATATTCAAACATATCTCAAAATTCAAATAAAAATCAATTTAAAACTCAAATTTACCCTTTATACTAAAAGATTTTAAAAAGAGGACAGTAGCCTGCCTGTTGTGGATAAACTAACTAATGGATGATGATCGATGAATTAATATTCCCGATAAATTAATTGTGAATGAGGGGGAGGGAGAGTAAGGCTGTGTTTGTCTGGGGGTTTTGATTTTGAGTTGAGATTTGAATAGTAAAAATTTTGAATTTGAATAGTTATATGATGTGATATTTTGAATGTAAAATTGATTTTTTAGTATAATATAAAAATGAAAAATAGGTGTTTGATTTGATGTTTTTGGGGAAAAAATTGGATGAATAGTGGAATTAAAATCCAATCCCCCAAACAAACACACCATAAGAGTTGTTGATTCTTAATTGCAAATCTTAGATGCGATAAAATCAAATCACCAAATTTAATGAGATCGATAATCAGATTTAAATGAATTCGAGTCTCGCATATCACGCGATTTCTTTGAAGCGAATTCGGCCTCTCTATCAATCGCCTCTCAAAATAGAATGAATTTCTTACCGAATAACAGGTTCCGTGAACCGAAGTTGTAAGCTTTTTGGAGAGAGAACTTGCAGCGAAAAATTAATTTTCTCGAAATTTTTTTCAGAAGAGAGTATTTTTCACGAAGAAAACAGTAATCTACTTGGTACATTTTAATACTGAGTTTTTAGAGAAGAGAAAAAAAAAATTATTAAAATCATGTTCTGGGAATTATTTATTATTTTAAACACATGAAGAGGAAAGCCTCACTAAAGCCCTATCTAGCTCTAGCTCAACCAATTTTGACATTTAACATAAATGTGATAGATATTCGTAAAACTCTTTCATGTGAAGATAGTTTTTCCATATTCCTCTCTTGCCTTTTAAATACCCAACGAGAGTGAGAGCGGGATCCGAATTCCCGAATAGCCAGCCAATAGGTATAGGTATAGGTATAGGTCTAACTCAACTCAGAGCTGCAAAAAACATCTTATTATTGAATTGATTGTTTTAGCGTACTATTAATGTTGAGACGATTGAATATGGACATTACTAAAAATATATATATTGATCGATCAGTGTGCAAAGAGCGTATATAAGTTTTGAAGCATAGATATAAATTATATTTGAGCGGAAGGGAAGAGATGTAGTAGTAATTATCCATTTAAAACAGTTGGGTTTTACTTTATGGACTTCATTCTCTTGGGCTTGTTTAAACACAATACGCTTGGGCTTCTATCGGTACTCACCCTATTAACACTAGGTTTTCTACTGGATTTAAAGAACCCATCTAATATTCCTTTGTCTTGCTCATCTTAAGTCTAAGAGGTTTTTCTCTTTGCCTTTTTTATTTTTTTTTATAATTACTTGTATTTAATTATAAAGATATAAGATGAAAACCTAAAAATGCATAGTTTTTATGATTCTCGTTAAATAATAACCTATTTTTAATAGGGCTTTTCATTTTTTTTCTTCCACGCCTCACCTAGTGCTTGGGTTGGAATTGGATGGTGTGGCACATGGTAACACGCACGCCGCGCCGGTATGGTTGAGTTCTTTCTTCTTTGTTTTTTTAATCGGATTGTTAATTATTCTTATTGTCGATAAACCCAAAGCAAAAACCGGAAAATCCGACACTATCCAATTAATAAATAATAATAATGATTCCCTGAAAATGCACGTTAGTTAGTTAGTAGTTAATTAATTAATAGGACAGTCACAGCATATATATATATATATATACCTATAAAATTAATTAAATAATTAATTAAGGCGTTGCCTAGACGATAGAAGGGTTTGTTTGAATGGGTGGATGCCAATACTCACAAGTTGGGAAGATCCCTTTTACCTCATTCTTGTCGCCTCGCCTCGTCTGTCTTGCTTGCTAGCTAGCTAGCTAGCAGTAAGTAATTAATTGATTAATGAATGAATTATCTATCTGTATCTATATATATATATATATATGAGAGAGATGATATGAATTATGAATATGATATAGTTTGGTCTGCAGCTGATCAGCTGGTGGATCTGCAGGATCGAAAATAATGGTGGTAAGGGCAATGAGGGCGGAGAGGGCGGTGGAGGGGGTGGGGGCAGCGGAGGCGTGGAGGCTGTACGGCAGCATCCGGCTGTCCCAGGTGGTGGCCCGGTCCCTCCCGGAGCTGATCTCCCGGATCGAGGTGGTCCGGCTGGAGGGGGAGGAGGGCGGCGCCGGCACCGTCCTCCAGCTCTTCTTCGTGGACGAGGCGCTGATGTCCCCCTACAAGGAGAAGTTCACGCTGGTGGACGACGCCCGCCGGGTGAAGGAGACGGAGGTGGTGGAGGGCGGCTACCTGGACCTCGGCTTCTCCCTCTACAGGGTCAGGTTTGAGCTCATCGACGGTGGTGGTGGTGGTGATGTTAATAGCAGCAGCAGCTGCTGCACGGTCCGAACGACGGTTGAGTACGAGGTGAAGGAAGGGTGCGACGAGGAGACCGCCGCCAAGCTGGTTTCAATGGAGCCTCTCCTTGAGGTTATGCGGGTTGCCTCGGATCATCTGCTCGCCGCTGCTGCTCCACCTCCGCATGATGAATCCCAATCTTAACACCACTCCATCAGGCAGGTTAATTATAATTACTTACTTTGAGCGAGGATGATTGAGGCGATTCATTGTCTCTTATATATATATATATATTGATTATTATTATTATTATTATTAGCGCATATATATTATGAATGGACGGATTCACTCGTGTGTGCGACGGCCGACTTTCATAGATATACTCTTTGGGAGAAGAATTATGAATGAAGAATGGTATATCACTAAAATAAAGGTACACAAAAATGTAGTTGCAACTTAAAACTCAAATATTAGATAAATAATACAAATAATATGTTTGCAACTAACACGCCCTCAAACTCAAGGCGGACATTAGAAACTAATTTGAATTTGTCTAAGAGTAATCGGAAGTGATGCTAAGAAAAATAAAAAGACTTGATGAAGATAGCTAAAACACTGAGTTTTGATTTTGCCCTAGTTTCAACCACCTAATACTAGACGATGTCACGCTTGTAGGACTTCTAACCAATTTTTGCCACATGTTTTAAGATTGAGTGTCACATATGTCACTTACATGGCCATATTTGCTCTCAGACCCTAGACCTCGAGAGCCTTATTGGTCTTCTTCAACTGCGGCTTCTACAGTTACAATTGCTATCACTAATGAGTCTCAAACCTCGGGAGCCTTATTGGTCTTCACAACTGCTGTCACTAATGAGTTTCAACATTCATTTTATACTCTTTACTATATAGAAGTTAATATCAAAATATGTTATCCATTCCAATTTTACTCTACACTCATAATGTATTAATATTAATAATATTTATTTATATTTATGATGTAAGAACCCACCACTTTGACTTTTTAAATGTGTTTTGGATAACTCTGGTTAAATTTAATAACTTGCAAATTAGATTCGATAAGACTAAGTCATACTAGATAAATTATGTATAGCACAGAAAAACTTTAAGATATGGAAAATTTAAATCCAGGCTCAGCCCCATTAATTTTCTAACAATATGATCTATCAATCATTTCTTCTTTCATTCTTTCCAAAAACATAAAATGACCTTAAAGTCCACAAATATTGGTCTCAGTCCAGTCCAAAACCCATCAGCCCAGCCATTCTATCTGACCCAAACCTCCATTATAAATAACACTAATACTATAGATTATTATAGTAGAGTTATTAATAATTAAACAGATGCAACTAGATATTATTCTTTAATTTATGAATGACTTGACCTAACGACCTGCCTCAGCTTAACCATTATAAGTTGACTTATTATTATTAATGTGATGTTCTTTTTTTGTTTAGTATTATTATTTTTTAACGATGCTATGCAGTGGATAAATTTTTAATTGAATTTAATAATTTGACAAGCTCAAACTAATAATTACGGATAATATTTTTGTTTAGCTTTTATCACAACTGCAAATAATAGATCATCTGTTGAATATTGTTTATAAAAAAGAATGGTTACTTCACTTGATTTGATTTTAGGTTGAAAGTTCAAATTCTTTCTTAAGAGCATATGCATTAACAGATCTATCGAAGGCCTTCTCTCTTCAATGGAGGCCAGAATAAAAAAAATATCTGTGCCCTATTTTAACGGACAAGCTCGACTGCAGTAGAAGCCATGACGAAGCAAAGATAATTAAGGTAAGAAAGATTGAATAGACAGAAAGATTTACAACTATTGTGCAATAAATGAGTAGAATTTTACTCTCAAGCTGGACAGGGGCTTTTTTTAAGCTTTTACCGCTGCACATACTCTAACATGGTATTAGAGTTACGGTATTGGTTTTAAGTTGCAAGTTGGATCCTTTTTAGCATCATTATCCAATGTACAACATGACGCAAGTCTGTCGTAGTGTCATGTACAAGTAAATCTAAACAAAATAACACAACTTTAACATATAAACATATGAATTTGTGTGCACGATGATCATATCAATATCAATTAACTGAAGACATTCTGAGCCACATAGGTGAGAGCGTCATTGCAATTCTTGAGAGCATCCTCAACCACCTTCCCAGCCATCTCCCCCAAGGCGCTCAGCACCTCCGGAGCCTCCTTCACCGCCGCCTCCAGCGACGCCCGCGACTTCTCCGCCAGCTCCGCCACCGCCCCCGCCATCCCGCCGGACGCGCTCACCGCCCCGTCTCTGATCTTCTCCAGCAGCGCCGAGAGGAGAGCGCCGGCCGCAGAGATCAGGAGGGCCAGCACGTGCTCGAGGCAGGCGCGGATGACGTCCCTTAGCTGCTCCAGCACCCGCTGCCCCTTCTCGCCGGGCAGCCTCATCAGCTGGATCATCTGCACCAGCACACGCGCTGCAGCCCCCAACGCCACGCGCGTCGCCAAGTCCCACGCCGCGCTCACCAGCAACACCACGAGCTTCAAAAGAACGACACTACCCATCGATAATCGATTTAAGGAACCCAAAGTAAATTAAGGAATTTCAGAAAGAGGTGTGTGCTTGTTGCATTCATAAGCGTGTGTGTATGTTGTTGCAATGAATGGAACTATATATTATGCGATTCATACATATGTATATAGTAAAGAGTTTAATTTGTTGAGGCGGATTATTATTTTGATTAGAAGGGAAAGGTACGTAGTTGTTGTTGCCCACACACAAAACCTATTCAAAGACACGAAGAAAGACCTAGATATATATATATAAAATAGTATATGTTATGGTCTTATCAAAATAATTAACTTGTTAAGAAACAGCCAACACAAGTCCAAGGTTTGAATGTCAACGCCAAATAATCAATTTAATTTAATTATTCTTAAGTAGTCCCTTCTGCAAACAAGCTAAGAACCTTCCCAACCAAGATTCATCTTCCGATCGAGACCTTTCGAAAATAAATGCTCTGGGTTGATTTCTCGTCCAAGATTGTACTTGTACGGGCGGGCACGAACTCAAATTACCATGTATAATCATAATCATCCACGTCATAAAAAAAGGAAAGAAAAAGAATCATTTATCATCCAGATATAGCGTAACATATTGCATAACAAATCCAAGTATTTTAAAGCAGATTGCGTGTGAGAGCGTCTAAGTCTTTTTCAAAAAAAGTAATACGAAGCTTTAGTACTAATCATTTCATAAAGGAAATGGAAATGGAAATGGAAATGGAAATGGAATTACAATAATAAAATGCTCATTTCTTCAATTTATCAACAACCTTGTTAAAACGGGCTCAACCATATTCATTGGGCTGATTATATATTTTAAAATTTTGTTATGAAATGGACTTTTAGAATGGGTGGGTATACAATACAATACAATACATACAAACATTCTTTGACCCACCCCAACCTTACTATTAATCATCGTGTCCTGACCCAGTTCGTACTATTAAAAAAAAAAAAAAAAAAAAAAGCCGAAACCTGGAGGCTCAATAGAATTTATCTGGAACCATGTACAAGACTTGGTCACTTGAGAACACTTTCGATACAACTATATATACTTGTACATAAAAATAGTTGGTAGTTGGGACCGTCCGGAGGCTCTCTTAATATATATATATATATTCAAAAGTTTTTATAAACATTAATTATTTGTTAAAAAATATAGATTATATTAAATTAAATACTCAAATTTTTATTATTTTCAAAACTTTATTTATTTCTGAAGCTATTTGCCATGACTAATAATCAATCAGCTTTAGCCGCGCACAAATATTTTGGTGTTGTGCTCTGTTAAGACAATATTGTGTTGAGGCCTTGGTATGCGTACGCATGTGTGTGTATGTCGTCCTAATGGAAAAGGATTACAGAGAGACAGTTGACATTTTACCTTCTTTTAACGGTTCTTGCATACCTTTCTTTCTTTTTCCTTTTTATGTGTCTTCATCCTTACCTTTACATTCATTCCCCTTTAAAACACTTTTTGCTTTTCTACTTTTATTTATTAGTATTATTATACAAGTTGAAGCATCCAAATCAAAATCTAGGGGCATCTTCTATATTTCATGACCACACACACACTATCTTAAGATTAAAAACCAACAATGCAAAATAGGAGTATAAATCCAGGCCAGCCAGCCAGCCAATCAAAATATAGCCATTTTAATTAGTTAAGAGGGCGCGTGTGTGCTTAAAAGGTGCAACAATTTAGAAATCCCCAGCCAACCTAATAAGTCAAATAATGAAAAACACTCCATCCACCTTACCTTACCATACCTTACCTTACCAGTTCCATCCCTCTCCTTACAGACTAACACTCGGATGCGTGCAATTCCCGTAACCTGCACAAAATTAACATACAAAACGCCATTATTAACAAAATAATATAATAAATGAAGTCTTTCTAGTTACTTAAGATTGAATTCCCCACTATCTATCGACTGGCCTGGCCTGGCCACATACTTCCATCCACCCAGTGTAATGTTCCCGGACCCCGAGTCCCGGGATCCCACGACTTTACTACCCATGTGGAGTCGCAGACACCCGCATCAGTCCAACCCAACAACAAATTATTACCTAGTTTGCTAAGTCCAAAGAATTTATAAATTCAACCCAAAAAAAGATTCCAATTTAAAACTAACAATTGAAATTGATTTTTTTTTTTTTTTTCAAGTAATTGGGAATTCTGATACGCTAACAATGGAAGAATACTCACTTGGATCTTTCGAGGTCAGCGAAGCCAAGCCGTTAAACGAGCAAGTGGCGCCAGCCGTCCGCATCTGAACCCAATAAGCACTGAACGCATAGCTGGCGTGGCTAATCAGCGTATTCGGCTTGTAGCACACCCCACCGGGTCGGATCGCGTCGCAGGTCCGATTACCCTGCCCGCAAGCGTACGACACGGCCGCGGCGAGCGCCGTCTTGTTGTTGCCGCCACCAGGCGCCACCACGCACCACAGCCGCCCATTGCTGTCCGGCTTCTCTGGCGGCGGGAAGCTCGACTTCCCCGACAAATCCATCGGGTACACGCTCGACTGATTCGGGTACAGCTGCCCGAAGTGGCGCTCCGTACCTGGACCCGGCTTCTGGTTCTCGTTGTACAGCGCGAATAGCAGCGCCGGAATGACGGCTCCAGGCCGGCTCGGGATCCCAACCGGCGGCTTCGCGGCGAACTTCTTCACGACGTTTCGGTTGTAGGTGGCGGCGTTGTAGATGTTGGCGCCGAGCTGGTCCGGGTCTCCGCCGTTGGGCCAGCCCGTCTCCGCCACGAACAAACGGATATTCGGGTACCCGACCCGGGTCATAGCGAAGACGAGGGCGTCGAGCATCTGGTCGAGCAAATTAGTGTAGAGGAGACCCGAACCCGGATCCGTATAAGATATGTTGGTCGGCTGCAGCAGAGCATAGTCGAGGTTGATTTGGAGCGGCTGCGAAACCCAAGCGAAGTACGTGTAGACATCCACGAAGAAGAAGGACTTGGTTCGGTTCGCGAACCGGAGGAGCGGCTCGACCACCGGTTTGAGGAGGTCCGACCGGAAGGTGCCGTTGGAGGGCGGGTAGGACGACTCGAGGATGTCCATGGCGAGCGGGGTGCCGACCTTGACCTTGTGGAGGCCGAACTTCTTGACCGAGTATCGGATCCTGCGCATAGCCGGGACCAGCTTGAACCAGGTCGAGTTCGGCTGGTTGCTCAGGATCTCGTTCCCGACGAGCAGGTAGCGAATCTTCGATGCGGGGTAGAACGGCGCGACGTTGGTCTGGATCCATTCGTCGGCTAGGGTTTGGTTCGCCGCTATGTCCGGAATCACATTGTTGGGCACCATAATCGAGATTTGGAGGTCGGTGCCTTGAATCGCCTTCAGGATCTCCGGATTGACGCCGTAGATCTTCACCGCCTTGCCGTTGAGTTTCTGAACGAGCTTGATCGATTCCGGGGGAGTTGGGAGATTGTTCCCCAGCTCGCCGTAGCAGACCCCCACTTTCGGCTCCATTCTCGCAAAACCTGCAAATCCAATTGCAAATGAACAGAACCAAACCAGTCACTCGAAGGCTAAATTCAAATGCAGATGAGATTATACTGAAATGCAAAACACCATTATTAGATTATTACAAGGAGGAGCAGCTGCGAAGCAGAGGAGGCAGAGCAGAAGGAAGACGACGACAGAATCCATTCCTCCTTCCCTCTGCAAACTACTCTTCTTGGAATGAATATATGCGAATGGCGAGTGATGGATTGGGTGCTCGATCGGGTTATTTAATTGTAGAAGAAGAAATTACGGAGCTAATACATATAATCGAGTTTTAGATTAGATTATATATAAAAATGGTTTTGGATTAAAATAGTGGACGGGGGGGGGGGGGGGGGGAATGGAGAGGTAAGAAAATTGTGTATAGAACGTTGAGCTTTGTTTGAGTTGAGCACCGCTACAGAAGAGGGATCTTCTACGCCTGTCTGTGTAGATTTTGGGAAGACAAAGACTTAAAAAACAAGAGAGAGAGAGAGAGGGGTACTGTGCGTGGGGGGAATCGAGGATTTTTTTGTTGGGAGATCCTGGAGTGGAGACTTGTATCGATCTATGCCGGCTGGCTGTGAGACTGACTCCGTCGGAGCGTGGAGGGCACTTCACTCCAGTGCGGATGTAGATAAATGTGTAGGTTTTTGTGGTCCGGGATCTGCTAGGTTGGAAGTGCTGTGAGCTAGCTGGACAATTATACAGCTAGAGCTGGTACTTGGTATTTATTTGTTTCTAAAACAATACGTTAATACTAATGTTTGATGATGGTGTGTTTGTGATCTTCTAACCCAACGTTAATGTATCCGAGCAAATGAATCATCATCATCATCAGTCAATGAATCAATCAATCCTCTCGATCATTACCGACTGGCTCGATACTCAGTCTCAGTCATGAACCAACCACTGCTGACTGTGCGTGCTGTCGCCTCAGGCAGTTAATAAGAAAATCTAATAAATCAAACATACGGCAACGGGAACGAGTCCAGGCCCACGGCCCACCCCACCAATCTAAAACTAAAAGGACACCTTTCCCAACTAGCCGTTACACTCGACAGAGGGCTGAACCTAAACTCAATAATTCCATGATCCAATACTATACGTATAATTTGACTCATAGATAATTTTGGAAGTTTGTATATTATCCGTCTATAATAATTTTTTAGCATAAATTATTAATTTTAATATATATATATATATATTACATTTTATTTTTTATACTATTAATTTAGTACTAGTATATTTAAAGTCAATTTTAGCTTTGGATTCTCAAGTGCAAATATTTAAGTATTATTTTTATTCTCCTTACATATTCCATGGAATTATTTTCTTTAGCCCTTTACCAACTTTTCTTTTCCCTTTTTATTTTCTGATGGATATTACTGGTTTTATAGTATACCTTGCTTTTCCATGCCTTGAACACGTGACAATACAATTAATTCATTTATTTTATTTTTTATGCGTTGAAAAAAAGCAAGGTTATTTGTGTAGAAAATTCTTTTGTAAGTATTATTTTCAAATGGAGTAGATTTTATTTTTATAGGGTGATTTTCCTATGTATTATAAAAATATTACATTAAGTATTTATTCACTAATTAGCAAAATGCGTTAAAAATATAGGATTGAAAACAAATTGAAAAGCACTTTAAAGAAATTAAAATTAACTTTATTCGAACATCAAAATCAAAGACCACAAAAAGCGATAATTAACATGTTAGTATATATATTATTGTATATTTATCCATATCAATAATGTTTGTATTCCCCTTATGTGTAGACATATATATTAATTTTTGGAATAAAAATATTCATAGTGTGCTCTTCTTATCAAAATAAATTGATAATATTTTTTTAAAAAAATTAATATATTATTTACACTAATTATTTTTATATTATTTATATAATTTTTTATATTTTATATAAAAAATATATTTTTTCAAACTAATTCCAAACCGCAGACCAATGGTTTCAAATTCATTTCAGCTTCTTCCTTTCTTTTTTTTTTTCCGCATTTTCCTAAGGTCAACCTCGTCATTTCGCAATTCTTCAATGTGATCAAATCCCTAGTACCATGTGGCAAGACGACACGTCACATGATGACATGGCAAAGGCCGATTGGTTATTGCCTGCAGCCCTTCGTTGGATCTCCGTTTTCATTTTTCACATAGCCGAGCGTGGGGATATATCTCGATAAATCAACAAAATAGTTAATTACACTCTGGCTAACGAATCCAAAGAAAAATTACTCAGTAGTGAGATATACATAAACGGAGAACAAATTCTTCGACATGAAGACCGGCGCTGTTGCATTGAAGGTCGCTTTGGTTTTCCTTGTATCAGCATTCATCGTCGCCTCAGGTAGACGGAAATTTAAGTAGACGCGCCTAGTTTTGTTGTTATTATTTATTTTATTTTTGATTATATTCAAGAAGATGCGTTCTGGAATATTTAGATCTCGATTCATATTTTCTATCCTTGTGCTTACTTCTTATTTAGGTTCTCTTGGTTAAATTATGCAATATGCTTGTTGAATTTTGTGCAATTATTGCTGTGTAGGTTCGGCTAAGAAATCTGTCGATGTGACGGAGCTGCAGATCGGCGTGAAGGTAATTCAGTCATGGAAATGGTTGTGATTGCGTTATTGATTCGTGTATGAATATGATAGGGAACTGCTGTTGAAGTCTGTTATTTTGCTCGGTATGATACCATTCATTGAAGTTAGAAACTTTTGTATATTCGATGCCTTGACTGATGATCAAGGAGCGTGTTAGCTGTAAGCAAATGCACCTGTTGAACTTTGTGTATGGTGCTAAGTATCTCACATTGGATGTGTAAGGGCTACTCCACTTAAAACCAGTTTGTTTTAAGTTGGAACCCCGGATCCCCATCTTAACATGGCATCAGAGTCATGGTACCCGTATTGGGTCTGGATCCTATATGAATTTTCAAGATTATCATATCGAGGGGGAGTGTTAAGTATCTCACATTGGATGTGTAATGTTGGGATTCCCCTACCTTAAAGGGGTGAAGGGCTACCCCACTTACAACCAATTGGTTTTAAGTTGGAACCCCGGATCCCCGTATTAACATATGGCCGTATGTTTAATTCGGAATAATAATAATAATCAAGAGGGTTGTGTGCTCTTGTATGGGTTGAGTAAGCTTATTTTTGTTATTGGGAATGTAACTTTGTAGCCGGAAGGATGTAAGTGTTTATTTTTTGAGTTCAGCTGTGACAATAAGAGTTTACTGGACCTTATTAGTGCAGACAGTAGTACTTCTGACCAATGCTTCGGCCCTTCATTTTACCATGAAGGCATGAACGTTGTTGTTGATCAAATAAATAATTTTAGAATCATTTGACTGGATATAGAAGAACATAGTGTGAAACATGTGGAGGTTAGTCTTAGGGTGGTGGATAAGCTTCTAAGCCTGAAGCTGATAGTCCGATCAAGTGGATCCATTGTACTTGGATACCATCTTTTGTCCATGTATAGTTGAACTAGAGTGCCTTTGGAATCATAATGTGTCATGTAGAGCAATGGAAACAATAAAATTGTCAAGCAGCATTCATATTTAGATTATGAAATTCTTAATGATATGTAAAGTTGTATATTGGAATTAGTGTACCCAGTGTTCTTAATTTTTAACATTGTTGCATATTTCATATGATACTATTGCTTTTACATGTTAGAACTTTTACAGATAAACAATTGCTGGAAACTACCTTCCATTGTGTTGCACTTTTTTTTTATGTGAAACTGACTTATTGATTGTTGCTACAGCACAAGCCTAAAACCTGTGAATTTCATGCTCACAAAGGTGACAATGTGAAGGTGCATTACAAGGTGAGTAACTCACTACTTATTACTCTGCCCTTTATAACCTCCTAAACAACAAGAAGGGCTGTTGAAGTGAATTGACTGCACATTATCAAAGCTTGTTGCAATTTTTGGTGCGTGTGTATCTTGAGCATTACATTTGAGGATTGGGAGAAGTAAAGCTGTTTTCGAATTGTTAGAACTTGGCTTAGTTTTGTCTTTTGGGAGTTATTGCTGATCCACTAACACTTTTGACTGCTAGAAAAATTATTTTACGAAATTAGGGTTATACTTCTGTTTTCAACTACATTTTTGTACTATCCTAATATGTACATTTTTGTACTATCCTGATATGATTGGTGGTCATTCAGAGTTATTTAGTATAAAGCTTATATGTGAATGGAATTTGTGCCGTGTTGATGCCTGATGGTGGCAAAAACTGAAGGATACCTTTCTCTGTAAAACTCACTGTTTATGAGCATTTATTAATCCTAGGAAACATCAACATTGGGAAAATCTTTTTTGATTGAACCTCTTGGCCAGAATTTTGCATGAAGAGTATACGTGTGATCTCTAATGCTAAGCTAGATAGAAATTCCACTTACCAGCAACAAATGGCAGCACGTGTCATTGGGTTTCTAGTTCTAATGTTATGCAAGTGCCACCTCTGTGTTTCTAATTGCCTGCTTTGTTTATGGAAAATTGATCATGTGTGTAGGGTACACTCACAGATGGAACAGTTTTTGATTCAAGCTACGAAAGGGGGGACCCGATTGAATTTGAACTTGGTAGCGGTCAAGTAATCAAAGGTAATTCTTGTTGTTCTTCTACATGGTTCTTCTTTAACATTAAACTTTTGGTGGTCAATTATCCAATATAATATATCTTGTCTTGAGTAGTGCCTGAAGAGCAATTAGTCTACTGCAAAATCAAGAATAGAATAAGAGAACAGAGTTCTAGTCCTCCTGCATTTAGAGTAATACTATATAATTGGACACAACCATTTTCAAAAGTGCTTTTCCAGCTAATGAAAGTATTATTGCACTATCTGGAACAGAGTAATGAATGATGACATGGTGTTTCTCAGGATGGGATCAAGGATTATTGGGGATGTGCGTTGGCGAGAAGCGGAAACTAAAAATCCCTTCTAAACTGGGTTATGGCGAACAAGGGTCCCCACCAACCATTCCAGGTAACCTAAAGGATAGAAATATGAAGAAATAAATTTGATAAAAGATCGCACCCTAAAGAGTTATCCAAATGCAAGTATGCTCAAGCTAAACTAGGTTTGTGCTTGGCTTGAACTCAGAAAGAAAATATTTTGTGTCCAGCCTAAGCTCGAATCGACCTGATCTCACTTCCTATTACAATTTCCGGTTCTCTCAAAAATCATGAAACTGATCTGATTGTGGGGGCACACTTGCAGGTGGTGCAACACTCATCTTCGAGACGGAGCTGGTATCAGTGAATGGGAAGCCATCGACAGACAACAAAGCAGCAGATGATAGTGAACTGTAAGAAAACCATATATAGGTTTGTGGCGACTTTGCAAGGGTAGACTTACAGCAGTTTCCTCATATTTTTCATCCTATGAAGTTTTTTACTATGCTGCCTCTTATCTATGTATCTGTGAGATGGACGATCGATCAATCCTCCTTGTATGTTTAGGGGCAGATTTCTCATTGAATGAATGATGAATGTTCCGACACGGATTTATTACAGGACCTGCATGCTTTTTATTTATCTCAGTAAGATTATTGTTATGCCTGGGATACCACAAACACAATGCAAATGTCTTTGCAAATCAATTTCCTGAAGCAGTTATGTCACCGTTAATTAATACCTACACTCTTCAAATTTATTATTATTATTATTAGTTTTTTGTAATTTTTTTTTTTAAAAATAAATTTATCATTATATTTAAAAGAATAAGAAAATATGAAAAATTGTAAAAATGAAGACAATTATGCGACCGATAATTTTGTTGTATTTACTGTTGTCATAATTCTTTAAAAAATGAATTTATCATTATATTTAAAAGAATAAGAAAATATAAAAAAATGACAAATCCGTGATAGGTTAAATAAAGATAAATAAATAAATGGATCTGGATTAATATTAAATAAATAATCTCTGGAATGATCGTGAGCTTTCTTTCCCCAAAGCGTAAGCAAACGCAAGCATATGGGATGATATTATGATACATCGCACACTCGCCTAAACCCTCGTAGAACTCTCTAGAACTTATCCCCCGCCCCCACTCTTCCCCTATTTGATCTCCTCCCACGCACTCTCGCCTCCCCGTCTTCTGCAATTCGCATTCTTCCGAGTTGAGTTAGAGTTGAGTTGAGCTGTTCTGTGCTGATGGAGGACGATTTCGATATGCCGCCTGCCGAGGGGATGGACGAGGACATGGATCTGCCCGAGGCCAGTACTTACATGAAAGTTGGAGAGCAGAAGGAGATCGGCTCCGATGGCTTGAAGAAGAAGCTCGTCAAGGAAGGTGAAGGCTGGGACACCCCCGAGAATGGCGATGAAGTTCAAGGTAGGTCCTTACTTGATTTGATTCGAGTTGATGACTTTACCCTCAGCTATCCGTTTTCCATTTTGCTTGCTTTTATCTCATACTTGTGTGGCTGATTCGTTGATGACGGATGTTCTCCCGATGCGATTTGACTGCAGTTCATTACACGGGGACTTTGCTTGACGGTACTAAATTCGATTCGAGTCGCGACAGGGGAGATCCATTCAAGTTCACTCTCGGTCAAGGTTTGCGGATTTCCGTTTCCTTTCCCTTCTGATGTTCGACTGATTTGGCTCTTGTTTCCTTGATGCTTCGTCTTGCTACTTACCGACCTGCTTTCTGAAAATTACTTGCTTCCGGTTGAGAATAACCAATAAAGCTAATATATATAATACGACAATATCCTCAACTAATTGCAACGCCAAAGCATTACGCTCTCTTTAATTTTCCACCCTTCATCTTAAACGAAACTACATTACATTCATCAGTTGTCGGTATCTAGAGCATGAAAGCCTAAATGTAAAGCCTCTTTGAATCCTCTCTTGACAGGGCAAGTAATCAAGGGATGGGATCAAGGTATCAAGACGATGAAAAAGGGAGAAAATGCCATATTCACCATACCTCCCCAATTAGCCTATGGGGAATCAGGTTCTCCCCCTACCATTCCTCCAAATGCAACTTTGCAGTTCGATGTTGAGCTACTTTCATGGGTCAGTGTTAAGGACATCTGCAAAGATGGTGGGATATTCAAGAAAATCCTTAAAGAGGGAGAGAAATGGGAGAACCCCAAGGATCGGGACGAGGTGCTAGGTGAGTGTATTGTTACATGTTCTGGGCTGATGTTCAATCAATGCAATCATTCTATGATGTTAACAGGACCAACTCACTTATACTCAAATGTGTTGGGAAGATATATCATTTATATAATACTTTCACACTTTATTCATAGAGTGGTGAAAGTTGGATTGTTCAGTATTATCGTTAAATTCTGTAGTTTGCATGCACGCTCGTTTACACTAAATTATAGAATTGATTAATAGGGAGATGTACATGTATTTTTTCATATCTAACTCCTATTTTTGGAATGCAATTGTTTCAGTCAAATATGAGGCACAATTGGAGGACGGAACAGTTGTTTCAAAATCAGACAGTGTTGAATTTACTGTTCAGGAAGGTGTGTACAAGATGATCTCCATGGTGGCCGTTGTTGACTATTGTTTTTCTTCCCTCTTAAATTCTTATTGATGGGGTTCGCTTTGAATCAGGTCACTTTTGCCCTGCTCTATCCAAGGCTGTTAAAACTATGAAGAAAGGCGAGAAGGTCCTGCTTACAGTCAAACCCCAATGTAAGATAAATGAGTTACAGAAATTTATATGAAATCTTGATTCAGATTGGATATGGTTTTAACTTTTAAGCTAATCTGTGTAATGGTTGCAGATGCCTTTGGTGAAGCTGGAAAACCTGCCTCTGGTGATGGAAATGCTGTTCCTCCCAATGCCACATTGAATATTGTTTTGGAGCTGCTGTCCTGGAAGACAGTTAGCAATGTCACTGATGATGAGAAAGTCGTGAAGAAGATACTAAAAGAGGGGGAGGGATATGAGCGCCCGAATGAAGGAGCTGTTGTTAAATGTAACAAGCCCCTTTTCCTGTCCCACTATAATATCATCTTATAGTATTAATTCTACTAGTTATAAATTTTAAAGTTGATGACAGCTATACAGATGTCAACTAGCGTGGCAAAATCTTGTGGGGGCTCAAATTGCAACGATGTAATTAATATGAAACTGTAAATGGGGGTCCCAAAATCAATCTATTTCAGTGGAACTAAAAATTAGGTGGTGTAAACATTATGTGTGTGGGGTTGGTCTGCTACTGACTTGTTTCATATGGTTGTGCAGTGAAATTGATTGGAAAGCTGCATGATGGCACTGTCTTTGTTAAGAAAGGCCAGAGTGACAACGAAGAGGATCTTTTCGAATTCAAGACGGATGAAGGTATTGATACAGTACTATTTCTCTCTGTGGACTTCAAACTCTTGATTGTATCATAAAGTATGTCTGTTGTTGACTTCTAACAGAGCAAGTTATTGAGGGGTTGGACCGGGCTGTGGTGGGGATGAAAAAGGGAGAGGTGGCGCTGTTGACTATTGCCCCTGAATATGCTTTTGGTGCATCTGGGTCTCAACAAGAATTGGCTGTTGTCCCTCCAAACGCAACAGTGTTATATGAAGCCGAGCTTGTCTCTTTTGTTAAGGTTGGTGTTGAATTGATCCTATCACGAGTATGGTACATTTTAGATGCATTTGTAACATGTGATTAAATTGGTGGTTTCTTTTTACAGGAGAAAGAGTCGTGGGATATGAGCACTGAAGAAAAAATTGAGGCAGCAGGAAAGAAAAAGGAGGAAGGGAATGGACTTTTCAAGGCTGGGAAGTATGCGAGGGCCTCCAAGAGATACGAAAAGGTAATTAGTTTTTGCAAAGATGTTTGAAATGAATGTATGGGCGCTATTGTGATTGATATGTTAGTTGAACTGAAGGATGACTTGTTTATATATGTTACATGCTCTGCGTGCTGGTGATTGAAAGAAGAAAAAAAGAAAAAAGGAAATGAATTAATACTGCTATTGCTACAGGCAGCGAAGTTTATCGAATACGACACCTCATTCAGCGAGGAGGAGAAGAAGCAGTCGAAGGCCCTGAAGATAAGTTGCAACTTGAACAATGCAGCATGCAAGTTGAAACTGAAGGAGTACAAGCAGGCAGAGAAGCTGTGTAGCAAGGTTTGATGTCATCCATCCTCGTTTTCAATTCAATTCAATTGAATTATGGATGTATGTGTGCATAGTGGTGTTATGACGATATGTGTTGGGTGGGGGTGGCAGGTGCTGGAGCTGGAGAGCACGAACGTGAAGGCCCTGTACAGAAGGGCACAGGCATACATGAACATGGCCGATCTGGACTTGGCTGAATTGGACATCAAGAAAGCCCTTGAGATAGATCCAGACAACAGGTAGGTGGTGAATGGTGATCAATCAAATAGTAGTAGTATAGTAGTACTGGGAATGGGAATGGGAATGGGAATGGAATGCCCTCTCTGTCCTTGTCATGGTATTTTCATGGGCGGGTTCATTTATTTAAGACATTGGATTGTGTTGTGGTGTGGCAGGGAGGTGAAGGCGGAGTACAAGACTCTGAAGGAGAAGGTGAAAGAATACAACAAGAAGGATGCCAAATTCTACGGGAACATGTTTGCCAAGCTAACCAGCAGCAGCAGCAGCAGCAAGGCAAAGGATGCTGCTGCTGAGCCGATGAGCATCGACAGCAAGGCATAGACAGAGAGAGTTTGTGGGGTGGGGGTTTTTTTCCTTGTTGTGTTTTTCTTTCTGCTCCGGTGATGATGGTGCACACTTGTTCTACCTGCTTTATTGCTAGAACTGAGTGAGGGAGAGGGGGGGAGAGAGAGTGTGTGTGGTTGAGTCACACTACATGTAACAACAGAACATTGCTGCTTACTATTATTCTATTCATCATCATAACTTGACCGGGACGCATATGCTCGACTCAACGCCCGTAACAATAATACACACACTCAACTCTGCTCCGTTTAGTGTGTGTGCCGGACACGCACAAAAAATAGAACACATTGGTGTTTAGCTGCACACGCAGGCAGAGGAGGGTGGCCGGATTAGCTGCTTTTTTACAACCTGTCCCTGTCCCCTCCCCATGCTATGCTGCTTGATGGCTGGCTGCTGCTTCACTCACCCACTTACTAACCACCCAATCCAATCACAAGAAAGTAGTGGGCATTAACCGTAACTGTTAAGTTATATATAATCGCCCCAAGCCAGCCAGCCTCGCGAACAAACATTAAAGTAAACTAATAAGAGCATCCCACTCCCCCCTGTATGGAGACAGTGTCTGTAGATGCAGATAGCTGCTGCTGTGATGTCTCCTCCTCCTCCTCTATGTTTGGTGGTGGCGGCGGCGGCGGTGGTGGTATGACCGACCGACTAGCTAGGTGGTGACCTGTTCGCCGACCAAGTCCAGACCGACCACGAGGAACGTGATCCCTTGGAACAGGAGGAAGTAGAAGTGGATGCCCTGCGCCGACAGCAGGCTCCTCACCGACGCCGTCAGCAGGATGATGGAGATCGCCAGCTCCTTCCTGTATACCCGATTCGCCTTCCTCCTCCTCTTCTCCCCCTCCTTCTTCTTCGCAATCATCATCATCCTGTTCTTCTTCTTCCTCAGCTCCTCCAGCTTGTTGAGATCAGCCAGGGACGATTCCGACGTCGACTTATGAGGAGGAGGAGGATGAGGAGGAACGGCGGAGGACTGGCTGCCTCCATCATCATCATCATCATCATCATAATCATCACCATCATCAATATCATATTCAGCAGCACCAGCACCAGCACCACCCACAAGTGCAAGTGCAACCAAGTCTGCCTCGGAGGAGGACCGGCTCCCTGACTTCTTGGTGACGACCCACTCGTAGGCGCTCCGGAAGTGGAGGAGGCCGGAGAGCATGGCGTTGAACTTGGTGACGGACATGGTGTTCTCGAACAGCAGGTAGGGGACGAGGAAGGGGAAAGACTCGGCCGGGGACGGGAGGGGGAGGATGTTGAGGATGGAGATGAGGCCCGGCACGTAGCAGACCACCCACTGGGGCAGCTGGGCCTCGGGCATGAACATGGTCAGCGGGAGCACGATGCAGAAGAGCGTGAACGAGTAGAACGGGAGCACCATCTTCCGGAGGAGGAAGAAGAGGAATACCAGGTTCGCCTTCTGCATCACCCCCATCTGCCAATTCAATTCATCAATTAAATGAGACTGCAAATATCTCTCAAGTATGTGGTGGTATCAAACATCTGATTAAATCAGATGTTGTTTAATAGCTACCTTGGAGTGCAGCAGTATGTCGCGGAAGCACAGCCGGAACAGCTGCATCGGCCCCGAGTGCCACCGGTGCTGCTGCTTCTTGTAGGCTTCATACGACTCCGGGAGTTCGCATATGCACTGCCATTAACAGCCATCATATAATAGGGTATGTGGTATTACTTCATTCATTAAAAAGCTTGCTACTCTAATTAATACCATCAAATGAAATATTTAACCTTGACGTGGTTGAGGTAAATGAACTTCCAGCCGCACATGTGAGCGCGGACAGCCACGTCCATGTCCTCCACGGTGGTCCTGTCGAGCCAGCCCCCGCAGTCCTCCAGGGCTTTGATCCTCCAGACGCCCGCGGTGCCGTTGAAGCCGAAGAAGTTGATGAACCACCCGTTGACTTGCTGCTCCACCTCGAAGTGGAAGGCCAGGTTTATGTACTGCAGCCGGGTCAGCAAGTTCTCTTCTTTGTTCACAAACTCCCACCTGGCTTGCACCAGTGCCACGTCGTCTTTCCCCTTCCATAATCAAGAATGGATGTATTCAAACATACATGACATGCATCAGGTAGGCAGGCAGGCGCTCATATATCATGCGTACCTTGAAGTACGGGATGGTGCTCTTCAAGAAGTCCGGTGCGGGCTGGAAGTCGGCGTCGAAGATGGCCACAAACTCATAATCCTTGACGTAGTCGCATCTCATGGCAGCATTGAGGTTCCCGGCCTTGTAGCCTGTGCGGACAAGGCGGTGCCTGTACACGATGTTCACCCCTCTCTGCTGCCACTTGTGGACCTCCACCCTGATGAGCGACTGAACATCCGCAATGTCGGAGTCATCCAGTATCTGCACCAGCACTCTATCCCTTGGCCAGTCCTGAGCGCACACCGCGCCAATCGATAGCTGGTACACCTGATGAATCCATGCACATCACAACACACGCCCAGAGCAGAGATACATAGATAATAGATCAACAACATTAACTATCTCAACTTCTACTCAAGATGAAATGCATTCCCTATCTATCTGTAACGGAGAATGTAATATAATCCTATACTATACAGAAGTAATTATGTAGCACAATTAAGAAATAAACATGCAGTAAATCCTACACACAGAGGCCATTAGCTCCTTCTTATGTGCAGAAAACTTGACTCCAATTCCTAAGCATAAGTTCTTGGATAATCAGGAACCTCGGAGAAAACACTATTTACATTCAAAAATATCACATCAACTTCTATTTATATTATATCAAACAACTCTTTAAATTTAATTTTTTACTATTCAAAGATCTAAACCCAAAATCCCAAGCCCACAGACAAACACACCCAAGTTTCTCTAATTGTTTTGTGAGCCTACGCCTACGGTTTCATTTACTCGCACATAAAGATTTGAGGAATAATCCAGTTACAAAGTTGAAATTCAAGGCTCTCTGGATGGATGCAAGCAAGAGATATGGTATTGTAGGAGAAAAAGAAAGACACCAATCGTACAAGAATGAATAACAAACAGATAGTACATCCTAAATCAATTAGCAACCCAGATTACTGCATGTCATATATATTTCATTTAGCTGCTCGGAATGGTACCCAACTACTTAGACGAGGCTTAGTTGCTGCTTTGATCGAAGACTGATTGATTGAATCACAAACTGGACTTGTCAATTGACTAAATATATATTCTAAACGAGACATATATAAGTAAATAAATCAAGGCTTAGCTTCCATGAACAAGTAAGTGATCAGCTCTGGGAACATAAATTTAACACTCTCCACTACAGACTCTACTAAAAACACATCAAACAGATTGAATTGAAGCAGAGACCAGAAAACCTACATGGTCTTACCTCCCTCTCATTGCACATTGGGATCTGAATCAGCACCATCGGATAGTCGCGGGCGTTCAAACCGTTCTCCACATCCTGCTCGTAATCAATCTCCGCGCTAGGTTTTAATCCCCTGAGCTTAATGTAGAAGCAACCGAGAACCAAAATAAATCGATCCAGAGACTGTACTAAGAAGAGCACGACGCACAGATTCGCGAACCTCTGCAACAGCGGGGCCAAATAGTTTGCCCTAATTTCCAACCACTTGGCGTAGATGTACTCCACTGAATCCTCGACTCCCACTTCCAGAGTCGGCGGAGTGAAATGAAATCCCCTAAAATAGGCGACGAGCTCCAGCGAGAGAAGGAACACGCTCAGCGCCAGGAACAATTTAATAATCTTATAAAACCTCGATTCCGGTCGCGGCCGCCCCGGCGCGGCAGCGAGGCGGCGATTGGCGGTGCGGATAGTGGAGGCGAAGCCGTTTGTGAGGACAGCAACGTAGTTGGCGACGGTTTGCAGCTTGTGGATGTAAATCCACGAGAGCTGTCGCGCGCTGCGCGATCGTCCGCCTTTCTCGGCGGCGGCGGGGGGCGAGGGCGGGTTGTGGAGGGTGGCAATATTCTCCAACCGTGTATCCTTGGAGGCGGACCGGTCGTCGGACACATCGTCCGTGGCGGCGCGTTGCTTGTTCCACCATTCCTGAAACTCGTGGTTAGGGGGATGAGACATGTAGATGTACGTACGTAGGCAGATGTGGAAGCGGTGGACTACGGCAGCAACGGCGGTGGAGGATGACGAAGCGGTGGCATGGCTGGCGGAGAGTAGTGAGAGAGAGAGAGAGAGAGAGCAGAGGGGAACGTCGATCGGAATGGGATCCGAAGACGATGGACGAGGAAACAGAAGAACCAAAGGTAATACGTCAATCTCGCTATATATATATATATATATATATTCTGCATGCAGTTTTTGTTTTCTACTCTATTAATTATAATTATATTTATATGAGTTTAGGGTTTGTTCTTTAACAATAGACAATATTGCCTAGTGAAAATTTATGACATCTTTGGCATTTTATTTTATTTTTTATAAAATAATTGTATATATAATAGTATGTTTGTAATGTAAATAAAAGTTAAGATTTTTGCATTAGTATATATTTATTTTTATAAAATAGAAAATATACAAATGAAAATGATAAAAAAAAAGTAACTTAAATTGAGACAGGTAAAATATATTTTATTGTCACACAAAAAAATTATAAAATATTATTTTTATATCACTATGTAATTCTCTATTCCTTATGCTTCATTAAAAATAAAAATATTTCCTCCGGCGGTCCAGATAAATTATCATTTTTTTTAAAATATAATTATATATTTTAATCATATATTTTATTTTATAATTTATAATTTATTATTTTAATTAAATTATTTAATTATTTTAATTTTAATTTATAATTATTTTTTGCTAACATATTTCTTAGCTACTTACTACTTAGCGCGTAATACCATACCTAAAATTTTGTGTCCCACTTACACTAGACAAATTAGTTGGAAGTTAAAGGAGTATATCTCAAACAAAAACACTTGACAAACAAACTCAATATATATATATATATATATAAATATTAAATATATTTGATTAGATGGAGAGGATATATATTTATCAAGTGGCGCTTCCTTCCATATAATTTTTTGCTAATTATGTGCCTTTTCAAAATGATGGAGGTGTGACCGGGAGGGAGGGCTCCACAAGGGCTTATAAATTACTGTAAAAGGCAACAAATTGACAAAGGGACAAAATTAAATATAGCCTTATCTCTTAACTGCTTTTACATTATCCATAGTACAAAGTGGGCCCTTCTTGCCCTTTATTGTCCATATATTTTCATTAATAAAATTAAAAATAATCCCAATAAAAAAAAAAACACTTATTTTCATTTTGATAAAAGTATTTATTCCAATCCAAACTACAGAGTAAATCACAGAAGATTACTTTGTATATTCATTTTTATTTCATAATTTTTTTATTTTTTCTTCATAGTTCCCTTTTATTGCTTTTTTCAAAAATATTTATATACTATTTTGTATACATTTTTCTGTCAAAACAATGCACCTAACCTAACACTCTTTTCCGCTTTAATAATTTTACATAAATAAATAACACATTAATGTAATAATGCATTTGTTTTCAAAACAAAAAAACTCACTTGTTATTCTTTAATCTCATTCATGAAGAATATTGCATAGTGATAGTAAAATACAACTTTATTTATTTACAAATATGGTAAATAAAACTAGTTTATAATTATATGATACACACAAATTTATAATCGAAATATTTAAATGGTAACAAAGCTCTTTCAATAAAACTCAGAGTTTGCTTAGTTGTAATTTCAATTCATTTAAAATAAAATATTGATTTGAAATTGTATTTAAATAATATTTTTATTTTATTTTATATATAAAAAAAAAACAAATATATTTTTATTAATGATTGAATAGTAATAATTTTTTATTACTTTTAAAAAAAAATTTGAAGAAACAAACAAGCTCGCTATTGCATATACATACTAGGTAGTTAAAACCAATGATGTTCCAATATAGGTGAAAAAGAATAGGATTATGAGGATCTTATCAAATAGAATCTGGATCTTACATACATAACAAAATTTTAATCTTGATACTCTATTATTTTGTAAAACTGTTATTCAAGATAGTATATACATACATATATATAAGATACAATACTCTATATGACTTTAGAATATGACAAATTTACTACATTTGCCTCAAATTCAAATTCAAATTCGAGAATATACATATATATATATATATGTTTTAAAAAGTAAAATTAAGTATAATATTCTAATCTACAAATAAGTAGTATTAATTTATAATAATAATCTTAGATCCCAATATTCGTATGTATTCAAAATTTATTTTAGAGCAATTTTAAAAAGAGTGGTTGATGTCCTGTTGTGCATGTAGATTGTAGATGGATGGATGGAGGAGTGCAGCAAGTAATACCTTACGGTGCAGGTGAACCGCACCTGATTTCCGCCGTCGTAGCAACGTGCATTTGCCGCGTACGTTCTCGAAAGGATAATGCTCGGAAGACAATAATAATAATAAATTATGAAAAACGACAAAATATTTAATCATATTATTTGATTTTATAATAGTACTAAGTAGTAGGAGTATATTATTATTATTATTAACCAATAAGCAGGGGAATATTAATATATTATCGCGTCGTAATATTATATTCCCTTGCCCTTCATCGTGTACGCGCCGTCGACGGGCACCGCAGCCGGACGCCGTTAGCGGCGGCGTCAAAACCGACGGCGCATCGATATGTGGAGAAACTCGGTTTCGCCGACGCCGGAAAGAGGTTGGTGGTGCGCCGGTACGGTCCGAGCCACTTGTTCAGCATGAAACGGTGTTTCCTCCACGGCGGAAGATGGAGACCGCCGCTCTTCAGCGATCTCTTCGCACCGTCGCTCATAGCCTTCAAAATCTGCCTCAGATCGTCGATTTGGCCGACGAAGACCCTCGGCAAACACCGCAATAACCGCCTGTACGAATCCGTTGGCCGCGCGATCTCGAACTCGGCCGAGAAATCCAGATCGACGAAATACCTCGCCGAATCCGAATCCTTCCTGACGACTACATCGATGAACTCGTAGCTCCCTGCGCTCAGTCCGCCGGACTTGTCCCACTTGGTCTTGCAGATGGCCGCATTGTAGCCGCCGCAATCTCTCAGAAATGCCATGACATTCCTCCGCATCATCACAACATCCGAGTCCGACGGTTTCGCAAACGCCAACACCTGCAGAGCTCTGAGAACGTGAGATTCGAGCAAGACCTTGACCTCATCCGTCCGATCCAGCACGATCGATTCAATCAGATCCACATTCCTGAAAATCGAGCCGTACATTGACGGATCGCGCTCCGGATCGGAGCTATCGCCCGCTTCCTCCGTCCACTCTCCGTCGACGTCGCACGAGACGCCGAAACCGTAGAAAAGCTCGGAGAAACTACTCGACGAGGCGACGTCGTCGCTTTCGCCGCTGTGTTCGCTGCCGCTGCTGACGTCATCCGCCGGCGTGGCATGATCCCAGCTGATGATCCGCGCCTTGGCCTCATCATCCAACGGAAAAGCTCCTCTCTTCATTTTCTCCGTATATGTATGTGTATCTATTTTTCACCCACTCCGGTGCGCTGCCTGCCCTGCTCCAAACTCAAGGCGGTGGTTTTCGCTTTATTATATATGAGATAAAGCTACGGAATTTTTAAGGAATATTCCGTATTAAAATATATATATAATTGTAATTAAAAATTACTAATGATTATATTACGTGCTGGAAAAAGGATATGCCGAAGGTGTATCCCTCCCGGTTGAGGGAGGGTTCCAACTTTAAATTTAAAACACCTAGGCATATCCCATTGGAGGGAGTCTCCCCTTCTCTTCTCTTCTAGGCCTAATAACTTATATATTAGGGGAATTCCTACCATGTCGGACAATATTCAAGATTTCTCCTTGAGATGATAATCTCGAGGATTCAAATCCAATACGGGCATACGGGCACCATGATTCTGATACCATGTTAAGAAGGGATTCGGACATTCAATCCAAAACCAATTGATGATAGGTGGAATGACCCTTCATTCATATATATATATATTAGGGGAGTTCCCAGATATTTAGCAATGTGGGACAATATTCAGAGCCCGTCTGGATCTGGTCGGAGGATCCAATCTGATCTCATGTTTTTTAAGGTAATCAAGGCGCGTACCTGATCAGAAATGCAATCATCCTTTTTGTATAGATTTATGAAATACTCCTTATAAGTTAATTTTAACTGCACCGTTTATTTTTGTGCTAACTAAAAACCAAACTATAAATTCTTCATTGAAATATTTAAGCATTTGTTTACTTTTTTTTTTTTGTAATTTTATTTACATACATTTATACAAACAAACCATCTAATTAAAAAATATTTTTTCAGCATCTTTTCTTTCTTAATTTAAAAAATAAAATAAATACGCTTTACATAAAAAAAATCTTAAATTCAACACGTTTTTATACAAGTATTCAAATTTTATAAGGTGCGAAGTTACATACTGTATTTGTTTATACTGACATATTTACATGTTGATTTATAAACTCCATCTTAGCTGTAAGTCTATATTATTGAATTATGTAAATAAGTTATTAGTATTGAATTATATTAGTACATAGAAGATTTATTAAGAATGAGATCGTCGGCCCTCTTCTCTACCCAGTCTCACCACGCTCCTAGCTAGCTAACTACACAAAGTGACGGGTATATATATCTTATACAGCGTGTATTAGAAGGATTTGGGAGGGTGGGTAGATGAGGCGGACGATCCCATCCCGATTTATTAATATTGGAATCGTATATAAGTGATCAATTGTGACAGCTACTCCATGCAGGCAAATCGAATTCCACCACGTGGATTACAACCACCCGTCTGGCGCGAGCGTGGCACGTGCCGGCACGTGGATAAGCGCTTGTCCATCAGTCCAAAAACCCTCACCCTGGCTGATTTGGTAAAATATTTTTATAATAAAAATTCCCTAAAATTTGCGTAACATTATTGAAATTAATTTCGTCCACGGTCTTAAAATAAAACAAAAGGAGTAGTACCAGTAGATTGCAAGTTGGGGGAACTAGAATTGACTTGTTGGCTTCTGGAATGGACAACCAAGGGCATGGCCTTTGGCGGGCACAAAAGGCTGAGGGAGGCGGGGTTCAATCGACACGTGTCATCCTCACAGCGTGACAGATCGATCTATTCCCTTATTCCACCACCATAGAATTCAAACTCATTCATTATGGCTGCCTCCAATAAATTCAAAATATACTTTATTTGATGAATTAGTATATTTATATTCTTTATTAGTATACACATACTTATTAGAGTTTTTTTTATTATTATTATTTAATTATATAAATTAGAATACCACTCGATAGATACTACACATTTGAGTTCAAAACTAAAATACTCGGATTTATTTATTTGATTTGAATAACACCCCTTCTAGGTAAGTAAGAACATTACTAAATTAATCAGCTTTGGACAGGTGGTTATCGAGGCAGATTTAATTTCAATTATTAATTGTATAAAATAATTGGCGTATCAGCTTTCTTAATCTTATCCATATCCAAATATGAATAATGCTCCTTGCCCTGGCCCACTTGTAGACTGAACAATTATATTTTGATTTAACAATATTTTTTTTTTTTTAAAAAAAAAGGTAAAATAAATGGACCAATGAAGTTACTATTGTCTGAAAATGACCTTTTTAGGGCATGTATTTGTTTGTGTTAGCTATAAACTAGGGTTATGTTTGTCCGTTTTCAAGAAAGTTGTCTTTCTACATTATAATCTGCAAGGACATTTTTAGTCCGAAGCTTAAGCCTTTGTATTGGATAAAAAAAATTTAAAAGTTTTGAAGATCTAAAGAATTTCAAAAATAATAAAAGAATAAAATAAATATTTGGGAATAGAGCTTTAACTTGTGCATTGCAAGAATAAATTTTGTGAAGGATCGAAAAATAGTATAATTATTTAAACTAATAATAATAGAGAACCAGTCTATAAGCATCATGTTTATATAGACTGCTACTCAAATTACAACAATATAACATAATAGATAAAATAAAATTTGTCCATAACGGATGACTTAGTGGTGTGGACAGTGAACTTGTGATCATAACGCCATAGGATTTACTAATGCACATTTTCAAATAGCAGTTGTACTTGAGTCGAAACAATGAGACCTTTAACGCAATAAAAAACATGTATCATTAATTTTGATGTTTCACTTAAAAATGTAAAACTCTTAGAGATACACACCATTAATTTATATATTTACGTAGAAGAATCAACAAACACACCTCCCTAAATGTAAGAGAACATATGTAAGAGTTGCACATCAAATGAGGACAATGAGAGTTGAAGTCGAGAGCTAACGAGCCTGACGCCATATAGATAGAAATTTAATTTTGTAGATAACTGATTATTCATAATGAAATAATAAACTAAATCTAAAATTCATTTTGAATAGGGGGCAAACACCGGCTTAATAAAAAAGAAAATCCTTAGGTCTTATGAATTCGAAAGCTTGCTGCCTTTAGGTTTATACTGCTTGCTCTCTCTCTCTCTCTCTCTCTCTCTCTCTCTCTCTCTCTCTCTCTCTCTCTCTGCTACGCTATGCTGCGGAGGAGCAACAGTGTAGAGCCAATCCCTAATTTTCTTCATGATGGGCAAATTAGTTCTTAGTTGGTGTACGTTGTCTAATTTCTTTCTGTACCGTTTTCTTTCTTTCTTTCTTTCTTTATTTTTCTCTTTTACTGCTTTTATTTTCAAAGTATTTGTACTGTATTCAGTGGTATATATGAAACTCAAGTAAGGACATCGACGACGTAACTAGAAAATCATGAACAAGAGATTTTGTAAACGGCTAAAAAATAGCATTGCAATAATAATAATAATAGGAATTTATATAAATCCTTATTTTGATTTTGATGATTATATAATGCAATTTTTTAAAGCTTTGCAATTTAATTTTAACAATATAAATGCAAAAAAATAAAATCCACGGTAGACAGTATAAGCTACCGGTAGAAAACCATACAAAACCCACAACACGGCCCAAAGTAAGAGCCCTTCAATAATAATAAATCAATTGTTTATAATCTGTGCCTCCCGCAAAACCCTACAACGAAGGAAGTTGTTAGGAGAATGGAAGGCGAGCCTAAAAAGGAAGGAAGGAAGGGCTTGAGCGGCGGCGGCGGCGGATGGGAAGATGTGGAAAATTGGGATAACCTGATTCATGGTGAATTTTCATGGGGTTTTGAAATTCACAATCGTTGTGATGGTTCTGTATAGTTTTCAATCTGAATTTCTCTTCCCTCGCTCGCTGCTCGCGCTTTCTTCCATTTCCTCGCTCCTCTTTCAGGTCTCCGAACGCTTCCCAACCTGATGATGACGATGTTCTGAGGGTGATTTCATTTTATTTACTACAGATTCGTATTTGTTTGATGATTTTGTTTTTGTCTACTTTTTTCTTTATATTCGTGAGTTTGAATTCGATCATTTATTCGTGTGGAACGGTGTTATTATCTCGTTTCTTTTTGTTTCTTCTATGAAAATTCAGTCCAGTTGATGATACTTAGTTTCCTTGGCTAAGTTGCATAGCGTTTAACTTGAACTCATATTGTTTACATGGTGGGACTTGATTAAGAATGGTGAATAATCATATCTGCAAAGCTATGGTTTCGTGGTGAGAAATGGGCGGTAGTGATCTTGGCGAAGTTCTGATATGAATAGCAGTAAACTGTACCGCACCCCAAGTTGATGATATTGAATGCCCGACGAGGAAGATTAGTGCTGTAACTTTTATTGCGTAGGTCTCATTGTAGATTCTATATTTAGCAGCATTCAAATAATGCTGATTATTGTGATGCTTTACTGCATTCCTCCTAAATGCTTAGTTGTTGTGTGTTACTGAGAAAATTGTCATGTCACTGGGATGTAGAGTCCATGTTTGAATTTGATTTAGATCTTTAGTCATAGTTTTGTAGATAGAACTTAAGAATGTTGTTTTTCATCTGATAGAATTTTAAAGCTACTGGTTATACTACCATCTTGTTCCAAGTCATAGAAATCAAACAAAACACAGGATAGAAACTTGATCAGGATATCATTTAACCTTCATTAAGCGCTCAGAAAAGAAAAGAAGCAAGTAGCCCTGAGTGATTCTGAACTAGGACAATTTTACTCTGCTATAGAGAAGTGAATGTGAATCTATCATGTTTCCGACAGCAATGTACCCGTGAAGGCTGCCGCCAGCCTAGTGGAAGGTGGTGTTGGTTTGCTTCATGCTTCAAAATAGCATTGTTCTCTTCATGGATAAGCTATGGAATACACTGAGATCTGGCCTTGTTGCATCATCGCCATTGGAAGAGATGATGGTGGTGTTAGTAGTTGTTTCCTTGGTTATGTCGCGATGACTTGGATGAAGACCGTTAAGGTCGAGATGCCACTGCGGTCTGCTCTCCCAGCCCCTCAAGAGGGATATCTCTCATCTCCTCCAGAAATCCTATCGAGGTCGAGTTTCTCTAATCCCTCCCTACACTGGCAGGATTGGATTGGTTATTGGATTCTCTTGTGCAGGGATGGGATGGCAACAACTGGACCGATTTTATTTGCCTACACTTAACTCCCCCAATCCTCTCATCTCTAATGATCAATATTGATCTTGCGAATAGAATTTACTCCACAATAGTTGTATAATCATTTTCTGCCTGCTTGCTCGCTTATCTTTGATCTTGAGTAGTAATAGTAGTTTAGTGTAGTACGTGTATATATAACAATGCTCTAATTTCCAACAATATTAATTGTAATAATTGATCAATGCCCACTAGAGAAACATTATTTTTATTA